TTTTCTTCAGATTACAAGAACAAAGGTTGACCCAGGTTTCTTTTCCACAGTATGTTTACACACAGTGCAATATAAGCGTATTTACACACTGGAAAGCTCACTAGCTTAGGTGAGGCCTACTGTCACAAGCCCTCTCTTTCCTGACTGGAGACTGAAATCATGAAAAATCTGGAAGTCACCACAAGGTCACATGCAAAATCTAATTCCTGAAACAACCAGGCATCCTCTTTTTTAGCTGTTGTTTTTTTTTTTTTTTGAGAGAAGTCATCTCATTTTCATATTATATTGAGGAAGGAAAAACAATGGAGGTGATAAAAGCAACTCAAAACTGCCCATATTTCATCCTAACGAATGTCAAACGATGTGTCGTTCTTCAACAGGACCTCAAAACCCCTTCAAAAGTTTTGGGACAACAGCCAATACAGTTTACAAATTTTACTGTAGGCCCAGATGTCATAATTTGTTGTAAAAGGTAATGATATCCATCTACTTTTTCAGTTTTCAGTGTTTGTTCTCCAAAGGAATCGACAATGGTACTAGAAAGAAAATAGTTTTATGTATTTCATACTATAGGTTCTAACTTATTGTCCGCACTGATGTGGGAGCTATGAGATTGAGGTGTGCAGTTTCCTTATAGGTGCTTGCAAAGGCAGGAGATCCCTGACTGGCAGGAATGGGAAATTCTAAGCTCGTAAGATAAAGGCTGGGATGGGGGAGGGATGGAGTGAAGTGGAGAGTTGAAATCCTGTTGACCGTGAACCTATCAAACGTGAGAGTGTGCTGAGAGGTGCAGTAATGTGCAAAGAGCATTGCTGCATTTCTGCTGTGCCGTTATTGAAGTAAGGTATTGCAGGGCTTACAGTGTAAACTAGACCTGTTAATGTCTAGTGATGTCACTTACCTGCTTCTCCGAAGGGCTCTGAGAGCCCTGTGTTGAGGGGATTGGTCAGTTGGTGTTGTTTTTTGGACTGTGTAGAACCAATTTTTGGAAGTTTGGAAGTGGTCTCTTCAGTTGTTTAGCTGCTCACACTTTTTTAGCATAATCGTCACTTAGTCCATCTTCTGGAGAAAAGCCTTTTACCTTTTTACTTTTGTCCATCCATTTTCAAACTGCTTCATCCAATTCAGGGTACTGGGGAAGCTGAAGCCTATCCCAGCAAGCAACGGGCACAGGGCAGGACACACCTTGGATGGGACGCTAGTCCTTTGCAGCACACACACAGATACAAACACAGAGTTGCCCACCCTCACACCATTTTTCTGTACACCAGTATGTCTTTGGACTATAGGAGGAAACCCACACAAACTGGGGAGATCATATAAACTGTGTCCAGAGTGCACCTCAGTAATTGGACCCAGGGCCCCAGTGCTATGAAGGAGCAACGCTAACCAAGGCGTCACTGAGCCACCCTTATCTGTTACAATGCCTTCATAATATTATTATTGAGCTCAACGAGACTTTTGAGGCACTCTCGATAAGTTAATTCAGTTTTGAAAAAATATTTAAAATATAAATACTTTTTTCTTGGGTTGTTTTCCGGAGTTATGACACAAAGTCAAGAGGTGAGGGGGGCAGAAGGGGAGCTTCTGTGTCATCCGCTGCCCAGGTTCCTGTAGAGCAGGAGCAGCACAGCAGGAAACAGCCTTAAGAAAGTTTAGGTTACAATATGTCTGCATTTCCTCTTGGGTCATGCACACTTTTCGGCTGGTTTCAGTTTATCCTCTTCATCAGTGTTCACAAGAAGACCTTAATAAGTTATCTTAATAGTAAAAGGGATGACAGATATTATTTCTGGTGGAGATAACAACCTGATTGTGTTCACAAAGTATATACTTTTAATTACAAATGTGCACATTTTCCATTCATGGCTTGGTCCTTGAAAAGATTTAAATGAAGTAAAAGCAGAACAAAATGTTTCTTTATTCTTTATAGTTTTGATTTTGTGCGGAAGTACAGTAGAACAGTCACTCTCTGCTGTAAGGATTAGTGTTTGCTTGTGTTTTTATAGAAGGCAGTGTTAGCTCAATGGGTGTATACTTTCCAGCACAGCAGCATTTTTACACACCTTCTAATTACTTACTCTGCTAACTTAAATAGCTCAAAAAACATTTGCAGAACAAATTCTCTATGAACAATTTGTGCGGAATAAGACAGTGTTAGAACCCAAAGTGGTTATTTAAAAAAAAAAAGTCAGCCATTTAAATGAGTATGCATTTCAGTTCTCATGTAAGTTATGTAAGACCAGGTTTTACTGCAGAAATATCAAGAGATATCATGCCATCTACCTTGATCTTGTCTGCAGCATTAACAGACAAAAAGAGATAACCCATTTATAGGGTGTATTCCATTTTTCATGGTTATCAGTTTAATGTCTCAATTCTGAAAGTGTTGTGAAACTGAAAGAAAGAGCTGATTGTCTGATGAAACATAGTGGCATGTCAGACTCATCATATGACTAATGAGTTGCAATCTTATATTGGAGATATTACTTAACTGCTAACGATCCACAAGAATCCACAGAATCCCTTCACCCACAGTGTTCAGACATTGAGCGTCATTACAGCGCATCTTTGGAACGAACCCCCACAACTTGTTGTGCAGCTTGTACACTGAAACAACTCACCCCTCTAGCCCATTTTGTAAGTGACAAGATTGTCAATATATCAGTAAGTGATTGGATATCCAGAAAACATTGCTCCCTGATCATTCGAATTCTGCGCGGTGCAACTAGAAGAGAGGCCTACGATAATAAAAGTGTTCAGCTGAGTTCTTGTTCAGTTCTTGTCTGCAAGGATCCTCCCAGAGTGTGCCTGTCTATATGACAGCCTAAGAGGAGTACTGTACCCTGCTCAAGGGACCATCGGCAGCACTCTGGGGTTTGAATACACAGCCCCCTGATCCAGCGTCCACAGCCCTGCGTACAGCTCAGGTACCTTGGCAGTTTGTGTAAGAGTAGGGGTATTATCCTGATGCTTTGGGCTGGTCGCCTCTTTACCCCTTCATTCAGGCGGTGCAGTAGTGGCTCACCGCTCTTCTGTGGAAAGGGGTGTAGGTCCCAACTCGAGATACAAAATGCTATTAAAAAGCGAGGAACAATTATTTCTGCTTTTGCTTCTCAGTCCCTTACCCTGCCGGCCAATCTACCACTGATCCCTTTCTGGATCTGGTTGGGAATTTGGTCCCCTTCCCCTTTTTTTGAAGGCAAAGTCTAGGTATCCCTCTACCACAGCATCTAAAGAAAAGAATTGAAGCCCATGATACTATAAACCCAATGAAAAATATGAATTATTTGGCAATACTGTGTTTGAATTTTGCTGTATACTGGCTTCATAATCTTTTCATACTTGCTACACAAGACATTATAATAACATACATGAGGCTTCTTAACATGTATAATGCTTTTTAGTGACATCTGCAAATGTGTGCATTTAACGTGTGCGTAAGAGGTCATGGCATTAGTATTAGCAGCACGTTGTACCAAGCACTGTAAATGATGCTAAAACAAATGTCATGACCTTCTATGCACACATTATGTCATTTTCAGATGTCACTAAAAAGAGGTATTCATGTAATAATAACATCTTGTATAGCAGGTATGAAGGGATTTTGAAGCCATTATGCAGCAATATTCAATGAAAGCCTTGCCAATCATTTTGTAGCTTTAAATAAAGTGCTGTGGGGAGCAGGGCATTTTGCCCAGTTTGATTGTGTAATTTGGCACTGAGAGAGTCAAGAGATCTCAAAGCTAGTTTAAACTTTTGCCAAATATTACTAATGGTCACCATAGTAAAACAAAATCTAGACTGATGGATTTGTGATTGGCATTGGCTATATCTCATGAGAAGGAAGCGATAGATCATTAAGACCTCAAACAGAAAGGCTCTGATGTTGAGGATCTCTTTGACACTGACCCACTTGGAATCATCTGGAGCTGCAGTAAATGACTGCAGACAATGTAGCTCTGTGGAGAGGAGATTCTGTGGGCCTGTGTGATGGTCTGATTCTGGATATCTAATGCACCATGTTTTCTTGTGAATGTACTCAGCTCTCATGTGAAGTTGAGCTCCAATGTAAAGCCCTTTGTCCACTCTCAAGACAGGAATTAAAATTAAATGTCTAAAGAAAGCCGTTCAAAGAAACAGGAACTGAGGCAAGGCTCTTTCCTGTGTCTTTCTTCTCTAGCCGTGCTGCCCTGGTAACTTTTCTGTGCTCTCCATTGTGCTGTCTGAACGATTTTGTGCTTCATTTAAAGAATAAACAGCAAAGTGCTTCTGTTGTGTTGTGAAGTAAATTCCAGTCACTTTCTGTATTCTCATGTACTTATCCCTTATCACATTTTGCTCTGGTATTATTACAAACCCCTAGCTGACGATAAATATTACTGGTGAGCAACTTAATGATGCTGGATTACAGCTCTGATTAAGCCGTGGTCTGCGGTGTTTACTCATCCAAGATGGCGCCTTGTCATAAAGGCTGTCTGCTTTGCTCAGCAGTTGCCTTGGTTGCTAGGATTTATGATATAACACTACATCTTTCTTCCTGTTCTTGTTTACGGTCTTATCTTCCGTAGTGTTTGTTAAAAAAATTAACGATGAACATTTTTATTATGTCATACAACAGTTTTGACAGCTCCAAAGAGGAGTCCACTCCAACTTATGACCTGATGGCTTATAGCGTTACGGAATAAGCACGTGTGGGACATGACTGAGTTGTGCAGATATTAAAATGAGCAAAATACCACTAGCCAAAATACCTCTCATTATGAACGGCAGTCTTTGATTTAAGTAACTTTTTAAGAAAATCTGCTCCCTCTCCTTTGAATCTGTTTTCTAGCAAAGGTGTGATTTCAGGATATAATGATGGTTATCTTTAAGGATCGCAGTCAAAGGTTGCCTTGTTTTTTTTCTGTTGACCCTTCTGCCAGAGTCAGTATAGAAATACTACAAAACATTTATTTATCTACGTTACGTCTGTATATTAACTGCACATTATTTTACAGGCATTCATCAGCAGAAATAAGGAAGCATTTTAGTGGATGTTATGGCACCGGGCAGTTTCATCAGCGTCAGAGCTCAGCTGCGTCTGGGTCTTTCTCACTACAAATGGTGAGTACACAGCAAAGCACGATGGATGTTATATTTTCTGCTTCCACTGATAATCCTTTTCAAAATCTTTAGTTTTGTATCACCCTGCAACTCACAACTGGCAACCCACTGAAGCTCAGCAGGTATGAGCTGCTGGTCAGTACCTGGATGGGAGACCTCCTGGGAAAAACTAAGGTTGCTGCTGGAAGAGGTGTTAGTGGAACCAGCAGGGGAAGCTCACCCTGACGGGGACACTATACTGTAAAAAGGCGCCATCATTCGGATGAGACGTAAATCTTAGGTCCTGACTCTCTGTGGTCATTAGAAATCCCAGGGTGTTTCTCAAAAAGAGTAGGGATGTAACCTTGGCATCCTGGCCAAATTTCCCATTGGCCCTTACCAATCATAGGCTCCTAATAATCTCCATCTATGAATTGGCTTCATCAGTCTGTTCTCATCCCCACTGATAGCTGATGTGTGGTGAGCGTTCTGGCGCACTATGGCTGCCGTCACATCATCCAGGTGGGGCTGCACATTGGTGGTGGTGGAGGGGAGTCCCCATTATCTGTAAAGAGCTTTGAGTGGAGTGTCCAGAAAAGTGCTATATAAGTCTTAGCAATTATGAATATTGTTGTTTGTTAGCTGCACTCAATATTGAAACTTCTATAGATATACATTTACAGTACATAAATGATATGGGTTTTGCTTACCTTGAAATTCACAAGAATAGAATAGAAAACATCAAATGTAAAATAATTTAGACATTTAAAGTCATGCTGGTGGTATAACTCAGATACCAATTCAGATATTGATTGGGAATTGGAGACTGAATAGGCTTTATTACACCGTGCAACAGTGACACCTTGTGACCATGATGGTGAAGATTATAAAGACTAATTAATAACTCAAAAAAGGATTTTAGTGGAGGGTGTTTCCATTAGATAAGAAGCAGTTTACCCATGATGCTATATTCCTGAATGTGAACACATGAGCTCGAACAGATTCTGAGGCACAAAGCAGGAAAATCAGTCAGCTGAAGACTAAAAACTTTTCTGTTATTAAAACAGAACTAAAGAGAAACAAATTGCACAAACAAAAGTCTCAATAAATGAATAAAGATGATAAGTGGTCATGAAATATCTTGATGTTCATATTGAAGGTCAGAATAAAAACAATTTTAAAGACAATAGATAAATGCAAGCTCTTTAAGATAGTCTTTTAACTACACAATAATAGCACAATGGCTTGAAATAAAGGAAAATACAAAGAATATAATTATACGAAAACAAGACACTGAGGCACCAGTCTGCTCCATGACCTCACTGGTATTGCTGTCTGAAGCTGATCTAGCCTTTCTTTCTTGTATGCTCCTGAAGGCTGTTGCCACTGACTGACAAGATGCCTGTGTAGTGAAAAACAACCGTTTTGCTATGTTCTCACACTGATCAGTCAGCCAGACACCTCCAGATTGACAGTGATCAAGAGGGGCAGCACATCTTTCAGCATTTGCACAAACAGGGACAAATAAATAATTATAAGAAAACTGTCTTTTTTTCAAGTGCCAACATTCAGTACTCAGGGGCATGTAAATCCTCCGTTGTGCATTGGTGCTTAATAAGTGAGATGATAACACAGGAAAATTTAGCAGATTCATACTAAGACTAAATTAATTGAAAAAAAAACATACAAAGTACTGACACTTAGGTTTAAACTAGCCTATGCTTAGTGCCCTATAACTGAGAAATTGTAATACATTATTGTTATAAACTCACAGTGATTAAGTCTTTGGGACTTTCTGTACATGTGATTTCTCCTAGAAGAGAGAAATTAGTTATATCTGCAGTAGGAGAGGAGAGGAGAGAAATTAGTTATATCTGCAGTAGTAGTTGTATTGAAAATTTGGTTATATTTGCTTTCAAAGCAGCCTGCAGGAAACGACACGTCATTTAGTCCTAAAGAACCTTTGATTTGTTTCAGTGACTATATATTATTTGGTTCCTTCATAACCCATAGCAGTTTTTTCATCTTGAAACTAAGCTCATTATGAATGTGGATTCATCGGTTGGCACATGGTAAGTGTACCACTAAGAAGAAGTTTGAAGATGGAGCAACTCCACTGAGGTCACATCCTGAAGCTCAGCATCTGACTATAGAATCGCTCTTTTCGCCGTCTCTTGTGGTTTTCACATGAAGAGGAAGGGTTTTTAGAAAAAAAAGCCACTTGTAGACATCAACTGAAGGTTTCATTTCCGGAAGACGCCATTTTATCACTTCACTCTTAGATTTAGAGAATTCAGCTGGGTAAGTCCATTTAAGTTATAAAACAAAAACAGCAGTGTCAGACAGCAGCGATTTTTTTGATAGTTTCTGTAATTTGTTTATTTGTTTTAGAATTTTCAGTTCCTGCACTAAAATTTCATATCTTGACTTTAGAAAGTGTTTTTTTCAGACTACCTTTTCTTTCACTTTTTAGGTCCAGAGTGTATTAGATGATGCTGAAGGTTAATGTGCATTACTCTTACTGAATAGAACTGAGTTTAAGTTTGATTTTGTGTATTGCACTTTTGTCTGCCTTGTCTTCATAAGTCAAAGGCAAGTGTTCAGGAAGCCAAAACATGATACATGTAATCTTAGACTGTTGCACAATCTAGTATGGAACGTACAAGTATGTACAGCGATACTGTGTTCTCTAGATAACATGATATGCTTGTTGTAAACACAGGCATCTTGATGTGAAAGTTATTTGTGCGTAAGCTGTATTGCCTACTTTTCCATTCATTTCTTTTTTTATCTGCTATGTTCATTGAATCAATATGACCAATGATGTTGTGGAAACCGATACCTAGGAATAACTTTCTTTCTTCTCCGTTTATTTCACAAACCTGCTCGTGCTGTTTCATGAATGCCGTCTTTAAACATGAGCAAAAATTTCAGTTAGATTGGGGTTTGCTCTTATATTGATTTTAAGCATTTTGTCCATCAGATAATGCCTATGGCATCACTCCATATAATTAGCAAATGAGAAAATGCTGGTTGTGTTTCATTGCAGAATTTGTGTTTTGGTGGGAGCAAAGCATACCTCATTCAGAAGTGGTAAAAATGAAAAGTCTATTTTAGAACAAAATAAAGGGATAGTTTCTATCACCTGCTTCTTCCTGTTACTTCAATTCTGTGTGTGTTTTTACTGATTCGGTGCTGCAGCTTTGCTCAGTGGGTTGTTTGCCATTCTTTACCATGCCAGCAAAAGCCGGCTGTTTGTCTGCTGCAGAAAGCGCGGAAATGGTTTGGAGAATTCCGTCTGAGAATGCACAGAGCACCAAATCTTGAAACTTCACCACTGGAGCTCGGAGCTCTGCATGGCTGTAGTTTTCTGATCATCCTTACAATCACTTCTGGGGAAGTTATTTTCAAAGGGTGGAAGCTGTTTTGCTGTTTTGCTGTTTTGCTGGAAGCTGTTACTAGCATAGAAAGTGATATATGCCAAAAAGACCAGCAAAAACAAATCCTTTTGGACATCTGATACTAAGAATATGAACCATGTCATAAATGAAAGAACATAGGAATGCACAAGATATAACCTATATTATTGTGCTTTTTTGTTCAAGATTGACAGCTTATTGTGTTTAGTGTATTCTCATTTTGTATGTAAACTATAAGTCATTTATTATTCATTGTATCTTTATGTGGGTTCAATAACATGGTTTTAAATATTTAGTGGCTGATACTATTGATTATCTATTTGTACAATTCTGTTTGCCGTGCATTTGATCAAACTAGTTAATTTTGGGGTGGTGATTAAGCAAGAAATAGTTTTTTCTTTTTACTTCGTACTCTGTAAGCATTCTGCATGCCTTCCTTTTTCTAAATGCTTTCATTTCAGATATACAGAGCACAGTATTAAAATTCTATTTGGTACTGTTGTTTTTTTACTTAGAATTAGGGCTGTCACTATTAATCAATTCATATCCCTACTTGCATTATTTCAGTGAAATTAGTTGTTGGATTAATAGATTAATCAATACAAATAGTCGATAGATTAATCGTTTACAAAATAATCGTCAGTGGCAGCCCTACTTAAAATATATGTTTGCAAGAGAAGAGATAATATCTTGCATGGGTGTGCCTCGTAAATTTGACACCTGTTTATTTGCAATGCCATTTATTCATGTGTTGCCTGAATCTTTAGGGGGACAGATTTAAGCTATTCTTTATCTGACTGAAATCCACTACATTTACGGTTAATAACAGAAATTTTCTAGACCAAGGAGGAAAAAACAATGCATTTTTTCTACTCCTGAGTGACAAACCTGCAAGCACAGCAAGAGAAATTTAACTTTGGGTTAAGTTTCTCTCTTGGCTCTCTGTAGGGCTTAGTTTTCCAGGTCAGAGTTATGGAAAATTAGTAGCTGAATGTAGATTGGAATGTGAATTGTGTGTGACCCTAAGGCTATATAATTGAGATGGGAGCACAGCAGGTTGAATTTTTTAGAAAATGTCTGAACATGTCTAAATCACTTATCACTTTTAGTGTATTTTACTATGCCTGAGGTTCCTTATGTATCCAAACAATTCATACAGTATTTCCCTGTTTCGTAATCTTCTTTCATTGATTTCCCTGGTTTTGAATTAGAATTTCTGCCCATTTTCATTCGTGTATCATTTGATGACAAAATAGAAACCTTTACTAACCTGAAGAGGCCATTTGGCCTGTTCAGCACTTTAAGTTGCTAGTAGCTAATCGAATTGTCATTCTTGAAAGAAAAAAGGGTATCAGCTTCAAGTAGCCTGGTGGCTCCTAGACTTGTAGAATACTGCAACTCTGTGCACCAAAGTGCCCTCTGATCTTAGTGTTAAATACCCTTCATTTGGCGAACGTTTAGTATTATAACTCCAGAAATAATTGTAAAGTCATCTATGTCTTCTATAAAATGAATACAAATTAGCAATAGGAGTCAGAAGCTTCAAGTAAGCTAGGGGAGTCCAGCTCTGGTCTTCAAAGGATAAAAGGATAAATCAGTATAACTGATAATTAGTCCAATTAGGTAATTAGGGGCTTCTATGAAAGAAAATCAACAGACCCTCAGGAGTTGAGCAGTAGAGCTGGCCGCCCTTCCTGTGTCTAATAGTGAAGTCAATGCAACCTCCACCAGAAATGAAAAATGTTTAAAATGAAGTTGTCTATGCTCTGAGTGAACAGATAATCCCCTTAGCTGACCCTGTAAAGGCTATAATGTGGAGTCAGAAGACTTTGCTTGTTTCATGTAATCTGGATGGTTTTAAGATTCCTGTGGCATCCCACTGTGTTACACTTTCCAACACAGGGTTTGAAAATCTCTGTATTCCTCCGTAATTAATTGGTGATGCCATTTGTCAAGGCATCATCAAAATGATTTAAAAGTATTTTGGAAAATCTCAAAATACATTAAAGATGTAGTAGATTGAATTACATCTTGTAAATTATCAACTGTAAAAAACTTAAAGGAAATATACTAAGTATATATGAGGAATCAGTTTATTCTTTAATTAGTTATTAGTTAATTATTAATGAAGTGTCTTGGAATTTTGCTGTAGATGTCTGTGCACTCCTGCCCATTGACCCAGGCATTCCTGACATGATAGGTGCACGTTCATTACACTGACAAACAGAGGACTAATGCTGGTCTATTTTAGATGTGTGTCTTGCCCCCTTCTTAAAGGAGCTGTTTTTCTTTTTTGTCACTAAGCCTCAGTTTTATGAAGCAGTGGAGCCAGTGGACCTGGAGGAATTCTTGATGACTCAGCTGAGCAGTGCAGACTCGGAGCTGATGCAGGAGCTGGGAGACTTTCCTGAAGATGATCTGGCTGTGGAGTTTTTCCCGAGGGAGTGCAGGACTGTGCAGCACTCTGTCCCAGAGGACGGGTAAATCATCCCTTGAAGACCCGCCATGGAGGCCCAATTAACAGATTCAGATATGAGCGAAAAATAGTTTGATCTGTCAGGGGTATCTGATGACTGGCATCTGTATTTTGTACTTTTTTAATGAGAACATTATAATAAGGTTTATACTCAGCAACACTGACAAACATTTCCTTCAGGTGCAGTTCTACTGTGGAGGCCCCACGTTAATAATATGACTTATCCTGTCAGTTCACTTGGGTTTCTTGACACTCCTGGTTTATGACCCCAAGTTTAGAGTGCAGGACATATTTATCTGAATATCGCTTGCAATAATTTGTTTGGGGCTTAAATTCCATTTCCCTTTAGATCCTAATGGAGATGACAGTCCAGTAGGACTTTTTTTTAAACAGGAATAGCTTGCAGGAAAAAAATAGACCTTACTTCATTAGTTTTATTGCCTTGATTTTCAGGAAATGTTTCAGAAGCATGTCAGAGGAAATACAAATCCCCATATTTATATGTATATAGTATAGTAAAAATCTTTGTCATTTTTTAAAACAATTTCTTTGACAATTTTTATCAGTTTTTTTGTTTACCTTTCCTGTAAAGCTCTTTGAGGAGATATTTTCTAAAGGCGCTATATGAAATACTTCCTCCTCATCTTCTTTTGCTTCTTATTCTGACTGAAATGCTAGCTGTCTTGAAACGAGAAGCGAGTGTGCAGGAGTTTGTCCACCCAGTTCAGTGTCTTCTGCTCTGTCCCTCACAGGGAGGAGCTGGATCCCCACGTCAGGGACTGTGTTCAGTCCTACACACAGCCATGGCTGACTGTCAGCAGGAGGTGAGCCACGCCCCCTGCACTTTCCTCAGCTCCTCACACTTTCCAGCCGGGACCGGACGTCTTCAGATGAGCAATGTCATATAACACGTGTGAGCGTGAATAGATATTTATGCTCTAAACGCAAATATTTGTCGAGAGCTATAACTATTACTTAGCCCCAACCAGCTCTGTTGGTAGAGCTCAGGGTAATGGGTTTGTGTCCTGCGTCGGGTGCAAGGTTCTCTAATAACCCATGCTGGGCACCGTGTTGGCGGCGGGTGATCACGTTACCTTGAACGGCTACAACGCTCGCACTATCTGCGTGGAAGAAAGGCCTGGCAGTCTACTTCTGTATCTTGTTATGAAAACACTAGTGACAGTGGAACTGTCCATAGGGTCGCCACCAACTCGACAACACTCATCCCATCCCAAACTTTTACTTGAATATCTCTTCTGATTCTTTGTTAATATATATATATATTGTTGATATACTTTATTCAGATTATTTTATATTTTTTTAGTTTTTTATTCAGCCCTTGCAGTATTTGCAGAGAGAATAGAGCAATATTATAGCATAAAATTATAGCACTCCTGGTCTATACAATACCGTTACAAAGGTTTCAGTACTAAATTTAAAAAAGACAGCAATGTAGAGCAGTTGTTTGGGTTTTGGATTTGTAACTGGAAATTTGTGGCTTCACATCTCTGGTTAGACACTGCTGTTGTACACCTGAGCAAACAACCTCACTCAGACTGCTCCAGAAAAATACCCTGCTGTACAAATGGGTGCACATTTCTATCACACTGGATAAAAGTGTCAGACCAATAAATTAGTAGTAGTAAATGTTGCAACAGTATGAACTGACTTGTTTTTTAAAGATATTCATATAGCTAAAAGGTAATTTGAGAAAGTCAGATATATAAAAAGATATTTGAAAATATTTTTCACCATACAGTATTTCATTTGTTCATTTGATTGGCAAAATACTTGTGTTCCGCATAAAATCTGTGATATTTATAATGAGATACTGTCTTGTAGAAGCGGCTGATTTTTTAACTATCTTTAAGACCTCTGTGTTCAAATACTGTGCATGAGAAGAAGCAATACTCATTGCTTAAGAAATGAGTTCAGGACACTGTTGAAATGATAACCTCATACCTTAGTGGTTTTTGGGAAGCACTCACATTAATGAATCAATCACAGCACATTTATGCTCATCGGTTAGGCCAGTGATGCCCATCTCCCAGACTGGAGATTTATTTGATCAATAGATTGTTTTGTTTCCCAAGTCCTTGACAATCAAAGGATCAAAAACAACTCAAAAATCTGCTTGACTAAAGATCTCATTGGTCTTTAATGCAGTACAAGGTTACATATGAACCAGAGAATTATTTCCAGCAATCTGTTTTAATTTTTGTATGTTGTATACTTTTTATTTACTCCTTTTTGAGAAGCACATACTATGTTATGGAAACTCTTCCCTGTTTTCAGGTTCCAGGGAGATGGCTGGAGTATATATTCTGAGAGAACTGGGCTGCACAAAAGGTTACAGAAACAAACCTTTGAATCTGATGTGCAGCCTGATAACCAAGAATACTCGGTAAGCACTAAATGAGCAGTTTTGTGCTACATCTCTCCAAAAACTGTCCAGCATTCTTTTATTAATTGTATAAAATGTTCTGTTGACAAGACTTATCTTTGAACCAAACACTATTTGTCTTATTCTGTAAACTGTCCAGGAGAGTGCACTCAGACACTTTCAGACTGCTGATGGCTAATGTACTGTACAAAGTTCAGCTTTATATGTTTATGTCTGAATTAAATAAATGTCAGACTCTAAACTTCCTGCATTTTGACCTGTGACAATCACAACACTGAAGTAATATGAATTGCTCACTGTGTTAAATGACATGTGTTAAATTATTTTCTGTATATTTGACAGAAAGCTACATATAATATATCATTATAATTCTAACACCATAGCCAGATACTGTATACTCTGTCATTAGCATCCCGAACTCATACAGAGACATTTTGTAACGATATACAGTTTCTGCCATTGTGTAATTGGATATGCAAGTTTTGTTTTCTCAAACTCGTTCTAAAGTAATTATGCAAATATTTCATATATTAGACTAAGAAATCATTGAAGAACTGAAAAAGGAACAAGTAAATGAGTTTCAGTCAGCAGATATTTACCTTTTCTTGTTGAAAGAGGATAAAAAGTATTTATAAAAGCTATTAAAGGGGAACTGTAGTCCCAATTTCTCAGACTGGCTATTAAATGTTGGTAACAAAATATATTCATTGATGTTATAGAAATATAAAAAAATTCAAATTAAGCACAAAATCGTGATTTTTTTAAAATGTAAGTAAGTCACTATGTTGTCGAAAACTCAAATTTTAGTTCCCATGAACTGTGAAGTGAGGCAGCCCTTCCTGCTCACTAGACACTGTATTGACTATTGTAATGTGATGTACAAGCGTGAAGTACAGGTTTGCAGCAGATATTTCACAGCAGAAATGTGATCTGCATGCAGAGTTAACAAATAACTATTATTTGTTAGCAAACCTGTCTCGATGTTAAGAGCAATATTTCTATTGGATTAAAGGAGATGTATTCACAAGCCTTTTTCTTTACAATTTAATAAGGCCACAGCACATCATCAGAAGTCTTGGCTTGTTCTGAATCCCAGAATATGGTGTTGTGCATACCTGGAAATTTATCCTAATTTGTGGTGTAAATTGGAGGTTTTACTGTGTACATTATTGTGTACATTTTACATTTATTGTGGTTTAAAATGCACCATAACAGCCAACAAGTATGAATAACAAATATACAAAAAATCTAGGCTAAAAACAAAATGACAAATTTGAACTTATTATTTTTAAATACTTACATCTAATACCTTTTGATTATTTTGGTATGATGTTAAATAGGCTTGTATTACATACCTGGTCTTTTAGTATGCAGCTTAATGTATAGTGTCCTCGGACCATTCCTGCACTTTTCTGAGTGTGTTGGGAGTGGTTATGAAGATATATTGTTGCAGGAAGTTGTGTAAACTCACACTTTGTGGAAAGCTGAGAGTGGTCCCATTTGCACACCAGAATGGTGTGAGATCATAAGAGTTGGTGCAAATCAAATGAAGATTTTTTTTCATTCATATACAAGTGAAACTGGCATTTACTTAAGCTTAAAATTCCTTTCAGGAGTTAAAAGATCAGATTCTGCTCTGTGGCAGTTTTGTGACCATGGTACTAAGTGAAGAACTCAAAACTTGTGTATGTTTTCTTGTAAAGCACAGCTGTTTTCATAAGGCTTCACTTGTGGATCATTATTAAACTAATTGCATTTCAGAGGTAGAAATGAAAGATTGTTGAAGCTTATGTGATTTTTTCTTTGTGGATATTGTTTGATGTATACCATATTTTATTTAAAATGGATTTTGCTGCACTCTTGTCTGCTAAAGAGGAGGCAATACACCTTTCACATGCAGTTTCCCAGATGAATGAATTTCATTGTTTATTTAAAGTATGCAAACAAATTCTGCTGTGAATATTCATTGAGTTTAGTCTCAAGCAGCATGAGCCAAAAATCTTAATTGCTTTACTGAAAGCTGTTGTTTTAGCTGTGGACTCCATGGGTACAAGAATTTGTTTGAGCTAAAATGGCCTATTGTTAACCTAATGTGTCTCTTCTGTAGTTTCTGTTAATTAGCAATCGTCTAGAGAACCTGAGAACCCAGTGACTATTTAGGTTGCTCTATTATGTCACACAGAAGCGAGGACTTTGGAATCCATGTAGCCTGAAAGCAGGCAGCTGAGCTACAGAATATTACAAAAAGATCTCTGTGGTTAGCAGAAAGATCCAAAACCATCTATGGGGAATATTAAGTACACTGATGGTAAAAAATAAAAGTACATAACAAAATCAGGTGCTGAACAATGCTCCTGCACATAACATTCATTATATAGAACTCAGAAGCAGTTGTAGACTGTAAAAAATGTATTTTTCTGCTTTTGAAGGACAATGCTATTATGCCACTGTAGATTATTTTACCTAATGTAGAATTGTGCATTTGTTGATCAGATGATGTCAGTGTTTATGTCGTGGAGATATGTGGTCAAACTCTGTTAATTAAGAGTATATTAAGGTTAGGTTCATGGGTAGAAATTTTTTAAAGTGTACTCCGAGACTGACTATAAATGTAGAGTGTTAACTCTGTTGTTTGCTCGTGTTGTGTTAAAGTTCAGTTTGTTCTGTATTTTGAGCATTTCAGTGGTTCAGTGGAAATGAATTATATTTGGTTTATTTGGTATGACACATTTCATAAAAGAGATGGTGAATGTGAACAATGAAAAAAAATATATCTTAAAGAAACAGGCTGCTTTGTTATTAAACGGCAAGGTTTTGTAAAATGGTGCAATTCAATGCCATTACGCAACATAAAGCCTTGTTTTAATTCCATCAGATAAAGTGGCCTGAGAAAGATTCAAAGATGCTAGTACATTAAAAAAAAAATATATAAATAAGAAATCATGCAAGGACAGTGGTCAAGCAATACAAGAGTCATGCATTTGTTAGGTGGAACATTGCTCAGGTTTGATTTTTTTGAGTGCTGTCTGGCCCTGCAGGCGAAGCCTCCGGCGCTGTCAGTTCTGTGTGACGACTCCGGACGGGCCACCCTCACTTCCTCAGACTTCGACCTGCGCGGACTGCAGCCCGACAGCCGGGTGGAGAACCTCCTAAAGTTCAGCAACCCCGAGGACCTGGACCGACAGAACCAGGAGGCTCGTCAGGCCAGCCGGCACCCAGAGCTCTTCGCACTCTACCCGCCTACTGACGAGGCAAGTGTGGGGCTTTGTCAGGGACTTGTAGGGCTCGCTACAATTAATACAAAACGCGAAGTCTCGAACTTTGAATAAAAGGTTGGTCACAGTTACTTTTGGGTGCTACAGGTTAATTGAATAGAAGAAATGATTTGCTATAATGTCGGCAATGTGGCGCAGTGGTTAGCATTGCTTCCTTGCAGCGCTGGGGTTCTGGGATTCAGTTTCCGGACCTGGGTTGTTATCCGTATGCATGTTCTTTCCATGTTTACGTGGGTTGGTGTTCCAGTTTCCTCTCACAGTCCAAAAAAAAAAACCATACTGGTATTGTAGGTCAATTGGCTTCTGGGAAAATTGGCCCTAGGTGTGAGTGTGTGCGTGTCTGTGTCTACCCTGTGATGGACTGGTGTCCTGTCCAGGGTGTACCCTGCCCTGTGCCTGTTGCTTGCCGGGATAGAACCTGCTCCTCTTCGACTCTGAATTGGAAGAAGAGATTAGAAAATGGTTGGATGGACCTTTGCTATAAAAAGAGCAAATGTTACACTATTACCATTCCTTAATTCGTAAATTGAAAGCATTCATCATGTTCTCCATCTGCAGTCCTCGGACATGTCTTATATATTTTTAAGAAATTCATGGATTTCTCAAGCATAAAGAGAATTGTATTTACTGCATCATCATTGCACAAGCACATTCAGCAGAAAGTTGAATTCTTTGTGTTTCTCATATAAGAGACATGTATGGTACATTTTTTCATATTGTTGGTATTAAAGAAAAGGTACAACCGTACAGCCTCACTTTGTCTATTGTAATATATTATATAAACATTGCAGTTTGAGAGTGCAGTGAAAAACCTTCAATTTCCAAAAATGTAGTTTAAGATCAAATTAAGAACAAGTCTTCAATCCCTTTAAAGGCTGTTTTAGATTCAGTCATTCTAGTTTTCACTAACTTTGTTTCATTAATTTTCATTTAAGCACTGTTATGCAAGTGAACTCTCTTTTCCTTATTGACATATGTAATTCAATGACTACACTGCCTTGTGTACCTTTACAATTTTTCTATAAAGCCTTTAGATGTAGAAAATCTGGACAAGCAGAGACATATGGAGCAGAATGCAAAGAACAACAAAGTGCTTGCAGTGGTTCAAAGACAAGAAAGTGTACCATACCTGTGCTATTTGCTTTACCTTGCTTTATTTAAACCATTTTGGGTAGTTATTGCATGGTTTATTTTACCTCTGAATGAAATTACATTCCATGATTGTAAATTGTTTTTTTTCTACTCATTATTTGAGTACCTATTTGTTCTTTAAAGTTAACCCACCGGTTATTTTCGAATTTCCCAAAAGCTGGTACGACACATTTATAAATGACAGTGCTATTAGATCTCACATGCTATATTGATCTGATCTCACATTACTTCCAGGTGTATAATGGAAGTACATGAGAGGCTTTGTGTATTAACGTGGTTTCTGTTTTGTTTGGTATTAGGAAGATGCTGTGGAAATAAGGCCAATTCCTGAATGTCCGAAGGAACACATTGGCCATAGGATTCTTCTTAAATGCCAGGCTATAAAGTAATGTTCCACTTTTTCACTCATTTAATCTCTCTGATTGTGTCTGTAGAAATAGTACTGAACAAAGAGGTGTACAGTATCCTAGAATTTGCCAATTGTCTTAAATTACATTATCATAAAGTGCAAATGCTAATATGACAAATTTCAGAGTTAAAGAATTAGTTATTGTGTTTTATTTTTGTTAAATGGAAGTGCTGTCATATTTATTGTCACTACTAAGTTAAACATGAAAGTATTTTAATGTGATTTGGGGCTGCTGGAGATTGTTTCATCAGAATACGGTGCTCAACGTTCCAGTTTGCCTGACTGGTTTATAACTATTTGGATATTTATTTAAGAAATCTGCATAAAAACCTCTCTCTATTGCAGAGCAGCATAATCAGCTTGAGTACTTATTAAATTGTTATTACTGTCATTCCTCTGTGAAATCCTGAAACAGTCTTTTTGACTCAGATATTAATATGAGGAATTTAATAAAGTTGGTTTATTTCAGATTATGAGGATCATTTGAAAAAGCATGTTGAAATAAAAGCAATCCAAGACCCGCTTTGGAATTTTGTTTTTTATTTATATATATACTTCTGTGATCTTCACTGAAGACTGCAATCCAAATAAACATATTACTTTGTGCATCATTCATGAGAATGTTATCTTGTGCTCACTTGTTTCTTTTTTTTCAGGTTTGAGATAGAAGTAGAGCCAGTGTTTGCAACTTTGGCCTTATATGATTTAAAAGAGAAGAAAAAGGTAACCAAAGTTTAAATCTCAATGTGTAAAGATTTGCTGAAAGTCTTATTTATATTAATAAAGAATATGTGACCCCGATATCATGTACCTACATTATCATGTCGTTCATTGGTTGAATGTGTCTTTTATACTATTTTGGGAAGGCATGATTTAATGTAAGAAACGGAAATAAGACTTGTAAATAGTGATACAAAAAGCACCACAGTAAAATGTTTTACATTTCTGTCAGTTTCCTGTGGCTTTTATTACTGAGGGTTTTGTGTTACCAGTGAAAACACCTAAAGTTTAAAAAGTTTGTTACAAAATTTTATTACCCCACCTAGACATGACTCTCAGACAAGAGTCTATAAGTGAAACTGTTGAACTAAACCGCAGCCATCAGTCTGTGGAAGAACTTAATTATTCTCATGTTTCAGAGACTCCTGCCTGTTCTTTTTCTATTGTAATTCTTGTTACTGACTTTTAGGGCTTTAAAAAAATCTGAACTCTTTCATGTATACTCTCCTCCTCACAGGCTCCGTGTAGTAGAGGCTGGTCCTTTGCTCACTGTACCTAAGACTAAATCTCGGACTTTTGGTGACTGTGCCTTTTCTGTCCCTGCTCCTTTGTTATGGAATCCCCTTCCTCTGACTCCACGAGAGACATATTCTGTGACTCTCTTCAAATCCAAACTCAAAACTCACCTTTTTACTAGGGCCTGTGTTGGATTGTTTTACATTCTAGCTCTACGAACCTGTATGTTCTTGCATATTTTTTTTCTTTTAGTTTTTATTGTACTTTTTTGGGGGGCCTTTTTCTGTATCGCTATACAACACGTCCTTGGGTTTGCAAAGATACTTTAAAAATAAAAGTAATTATTGTTGTTGTTGTTGTAGTTTGACAGGCAAGACTTTGTGTTTCAGATCTCTGAGAATTTTTACTGCGACCTGAACTGTGACCAGCTGAGAGGGTTCCTCCGCCCACACACGCCTCACATCTCCCCCGCCAGCCTGGCCAGATCGGCCATCTTCTCCATCACCTACCCCTCGCCAGACATCTACCTTGTCATCAAGGTGTGTCCTCCCATGAATCTCCACTGGTGTGAACATTAATGACACGCCCGAGTCACAAAGCACACTGATGAGATGAGCCCAGCTTCGTGCCAGTGTGGCGCCACACCTGCCAAGGAGCAGTAAACTAGCTTACAAAATTCGTATTGCTTTGGAAAGTCTTACAGGAGGTAACACACTCATCTCTGCATCACCTGCAGTCTCAGCAGTGACAGAGTGGGCTCCTGTCAATCTATCGATCCACTTTGTACGTAATTCAAGTATTTTGAGACAGGTTGGGTTATTCTGCTTCTCCAGAATTATATTTTTTGTTATGTGCACAAAATACTGTGAAAAAATGTGGAGCACGTCGCAATTTAAATTGCATTCCTCACCTTTTAAACCCTAATGAAACAGCTGGAATTCATTAAGACTTGGAATAAAATCCGAGATTTCTGTCACCTGAAAAGACCAAACTCTCTGTAATGAAATTTATGTGCTGCGGCTCAAGTTTCAAGATTATTGTAATCCTGAAAGCAATAAACAGTTGTTACTTTAAACGGAGAAGGTCCTGAACATGTGTTCAGGCAGAGAAAGCAGTTAGCAGTTGCAATTGTTTTTGGGATATAGGTATTTAGTGTTTGTCCTGCACTCCAGGATCTGTTATGCTTCTCAGGTTGGGTAGTCCTTGATAGTAGAAGCACAGGCCATTGGACCCCAGCTGTGTGATGCTCAAAGGTGACTGTGTTGTGTTGTGTTTCAGATTGAGAAGGTGCTCCAGCAGGGGGAGATTGGAGAGTGTGCAGACCCCTACATGGTGATGAGAGAGAGTGACACTGCGAAGGTAAAGCTTGTGCTGCAATGCAACAATTTTCATTAATCATTTTCATTAAGTTCTAAAACTTCCATTTCATACTCTAGTGTGAAGTCACCAAACCACAGCATTGTGTTTTACACTTGTTTGTTGGTTGGCTTGTTCAGAAGATGAAGATAACTAGCTGATTTGACAAAACACAAATAAGATTTCTTGTAATTTTGCATTACCATTGATTAATGCCACGTACCACTGCAGGTGTGAACAGGTTCCGTTTCCACATTTTTGTTATGAAAGTATTTTAAAGTTTATTGTTTTAATCTTTTGGTGATTTTACCGATCTTTTGTTCTGAATGTATTGTATGAAAAAAACAAGCCTTTCATGAGGCTGAGTGGTCCTGTGATTGAGGTTAAAGGCTTTTTACCTGGAAGATCCTGGTTTGTGTGCTACTTTTGGCACTGATATGTTAACCTCCTTGTGTCGCGTGCTTTCCATCAGATGTATTGCAGTGACAGCAGCAGGTGTTAATGTCTGGTCTTGCTCTAGACTCTGTATCTGCAATAGAGCTTTATCATTAATAAGATGAACATGGCTGGCAGTTATGCAAAAACGCTGAAGGGAAGACATACAGTACTATTTAATGGCTTATGCTTTTATGATCATTTCTATTTTCAGAATAAGGACAAGCTGGAGAAGCTAAAAAATCAAGCTGAATCCTTCTGCCAGAGACTGGGAAAATACAGAATGCCTTTTGCATGGGCCACAGTGAACATTATGAATGTGATCAGTACTGCCACCATTGATAGAGATCCTGCAGAATCTGAGGGTATGAATGGTAAGTAATCAGAAGTGCTTATGATAATTTTAAAAAGACAGATTTCTGATTTCTGAGGACTAAACTACTTTTACCAGGTTTTGTGGCTAAAATCTTAGATATTCACTGGGAAGTTTTCTCCTTGCTGCAAATTTATGCCTTGTTGAAGACTGTACATGCTTAATATCTTTAAATTAAAAAATAACAAATAAGTGGATTTTTTAAGCAAACTTTTTTTTGTTAAAATATGCAGTTAAAACCTTCTCATATGCTCACCTGTGTTTAATAACCACTACAAATTCCTCCTGACAATATTATTATAATATATATATTCTAAATTCACAAAAGTGACCTCTGGTCTTTTGAGCCACGTGACCACTTTTTAAGTGTCTTTTTTCATTGGCTGTCTTTATTCTGATAGAAGAATAACTCTACTGTCCATAAATATAAACAAAGAGAAGGAAAAACAAAGTGTTTTTCTTTACATGACAGAATTCAAGTTAGTGAACATAGGAAAGAATGGCAAATGAAAACGGACAAAAATTAAATATTTGCCAGTTACTTCTTCTAGTGATATTAGTTTATAACTTATTTATATGATGTTTCATCACAATGCATTTTAATTTCTTTAAAGTGTTTAATATTTTGTGCATAATGGTTAATGACCAAATAAATTAACGGACATGTGTTAGATCTCACGTCAACACTGTACTTAACCAGTGACTAAAATGTATGGATGATCCCTATATTTTAAGAGATCATATGTGTTAAAAGACCACTATTAGACTCGCTCTTGAATGCTTCTTTCACACAGGTTCTGGTGGTCTCATTCCGAAGGATTAATTGTCAAATAAAAATATTAGACTGTGCTCTCTAAAGTTGTAGAAAATAAATGATAAAAAAATCATCATTCTTTGTGACTCTTCTGTTTTGTTTGTTGGAATGAGATATGAGGGAGTCAGCTTATTGTGGAAGATATTACTATTCCAGTGCCTCACGATGAAAACAAAACCAAACAGATTGACCTAACATTTTAATGAACTTACTTTGAAGCTCTTATGTCTGTATATCTATTTTCAGATTGTTTGAACATTGGAACTGTTTTATTGCGTATACCTGAACAGACCTGGAAATTAAAAAAAATGTGTTCCTGATTTTGTAGGCAAAGCTGGTGGAGAAAAAAGAAACCCGGTCCCACACAGAAGAAACTCGGAGAGGTTTAGCTCTCTCGAAGATCATTATAACTTGTCAGGTTTCAAACCAGCCACCATAACCATCAGCACCTTTTGCAAACAGGTATGACGTTTCCTATTGGAACCAGTTATTAAAAGGACCTGCCAACTCGATGAAATACATCCATTTTCTAACCGTTTTATCCCTGAGTTGTGGTGGAGCTGGAGTCTATATGGACGCACGGCAGAATACACAGTGAATGGGACGCCAGTCCATCACAGGCCACATAAGTTACACAAACACAGACAGACTCACGCCAGTTACCCCACAAGCTAGATAACCTATCAGCATGTCTTTGGACTGTGGGAGGAAACTTGAGCACCCTGAGGAAGCCCAATCGAACACTTGAAGAATTGACAAACTCCACACGGCTAGCACCCCAGATATGCTCACTCAAAGAAACGTATGTTGCAACTTTGCAACTAGCTGATTATCATGTGCAAATACTGTACATTTCATTTTTTTCTGCAGGAGGGTGATCGGCTCAGTGATGAAGACTTGTTCAAATTTCTGGGTGAGCTTAAGAGATCCTCCACCTTGCAGAGACGAATCAAGACAATGACAGGTAAGTCATCCTAGCAAAAAGCTAGATAGCAAAAAGGTAACAATTTTGTAGGAGTGTAACTATTGTGAAAATGTGAGGCTGATAATATTTTCAAACAAAATTGTTGAGATGTATTCTAGAGACTCCAGAGGTACGAATTGCACTGACGTTCTTTTGATGATAGGCTGCAGTGGATGTGTCCGTTACAGCATTTGACAAACTCCATTCTGTAATGTGTGATATTTGATAATAGGCTTCAGTTCCCCTTGCCCTTTCCTTCCTGTTTTTGTTTTTTATTGTTCTGTTTTTGTAAAAAAACAACAACATCATTTACAGGGTCATATGAGTGGGTCCCTTAGGTGAAAACTATGAAAACTCTGAACGCACTGAAAGCTGTGAATGCACAGGGTTTGCGACTAATGCAACTCTTTGTCTTGGTGTAAGGCTGTATTAAACTGGACCTGGTTCCAGCCCCCGACACCATGCCAGCGTGTCTGTCCAGTGAGCTGATCGCTGTAAGGCCTGCAGCCGAGAAGAACGTCCGCGCCGTCAGGGAGATCCTGGAATTTCCTTCTCGGGAGGTTTTTGTTCCTCACACCACGTACCGGTGAGATACAGGTTTTTTTCTTCACTGCGTCTTCTTGCTTGGATGCTATTTAAAAGGAAGGGAAGAGCAAGTTTCTTGACCTACACTGATGAAACGTTTATTTCTTCATTCGGATTAAGACTGGAACCAGGTTTAAGAAGACTGCCATAATAATTTAATTTTGATGTGCAATCAGCAGTTCTTGTAAATGGAGGGGATTTTGATCAATCAATTAACCAATCAACCAATTGATCAACCAACCAATCAATCAATCAATAAATCACTTATATTCTTATATTTCTTCTTATTATAGTGCATTTCAATACAGTTTATTGTCAAGGCATTTTTCCATAAATTATACAATATGTAAAGAAAATAAATTTAAACCACATTTACTAGAGAAATTAAAGAAATAGGTTAAGAATTTAAGGTCATAGAAAACGTACATTTTTAATTTGAGACTTAAAACATCAGCAGAAGCTGTATTTTAATATGGTCAGGTGGCTAATGTTCTGAAAACCTTGGACAATTGGATCCAGGAACCAGCTGAGCAAAGTGAGGGAGCTGGGATGTGTGAATAATATGAGGTTTAATGTATGGGACATCATCTCTGGTGATGGCTAGAGACGGATGCGATATAGGATTATGTTGTAAATGTTTTGTGGTCAAACCTGTTGGAGTTACCTGAGTAAAGGTGCCTTATTAAGCAAGACAGAAAGCAGCAGCTTTGTATGGGGAAGATGAACTAACATTGTGAGTCAGCCTCATTTTGGGTTTCAATGCTGTTCATACTGTATGTGCGAAGATTTCAGGATGGCAGTTTGTCACCCATGTTGCAGTGTTACTTGCGGCAGCGCAAATATTTCATTTAGAAATTATATACAGGCAACATGTTGATCTCTGAGAACATTTGGAAATCTCCTTTGTTTGCATTATAGCTATGTAACCCTTAATAAAATAAGCTGCTGCCTTGAGTGTTTAAGGTCATTCACTCACAAATGTTTCTAGCTTAAAACTAGTCACAATAAAATATAAAATAGCAACAGTTCTCTCTTCTGTTTTCATGGGATGTAGGCTGCATATTTCTGGCCTGTTTACTGAGCCAGGATAGTCGGAATTCCTGGTGTAGAGATACGATGGCGCCATTTCAGAATTAAAAAAAATTAAATGATAATTATTGTGAAAAAGAATTTGACAATTTTGACAGAACAAAATAAGTAAAAGCAACAGAATGGTGTTTTAACACTGAGAGAACTCTCCACACAAAATAAGAAAACTCGATTCCATTTTTGTTTTTTATTTTAACAACTGTTGGGAAGATATTTCCATAAAATATATTAATTTACATTGTAGGTAAAATTCCACTCTAGGTGTAGTAAAAACAGCAAAATGTAAAACTATACAGAATAAAAAAATATTTTGCTAAAGATCGGTATATTGGGTTAAAATACAACATTTAATGTCTTTGTATAATTGCAGTTAAAATGACAGGTACTTCGTTATATTATTTTAAAATTGCTTTCGTAAGACATTGGTTAAGATTAAATGTATTTTATGTATTAGAAGTTTATTTGTCAAGGATGACAACCCTGGTAATGCCCTCAAGTTGTTTTGGGATAAATTTAGCTATTTTTAGAATAAATCCACAGGGAAAACAATGACTTCTCAAGACAACCTCTTTGGCTTAGTGTGTTCATAGGGCAGCCTCACAGGAAACAGGTTATCATGGCAACAGAATGCATTTGAGTGGACAGTCTCTTTTGTAGATGATAAATAAACCAGGCCATTAGCCCAGTTTAACTCATGGTTGTTATAGTGTAGTTGTTGAATGAATACGTAAAACTGTAGGCATACAAAGCAGAACAGTCATTTAAAAGAAAGAATTTAACAGAATAATTTGCTTGAATTTTAAGAGATATATTCTAAAAAATAGAATGGTTTAGCCTGCTTTGACCAAGAGAAACAAAGCCTAATGACTAAACGTCACTACCATAGGCTTATGGGGCAAATTATTTTTACACCTGCGTAGGTGATTCTGAAAGAGACCCTATCTACATCATAAAATACAGTCAGCTCTGTGTACACCATGGCCAAATTTAAGACATTCTAATAGGTCGCTGTGGCAGCATGCATAGACTGAAAAGGAGCAGGTAAAGGTTTATTCCACCGTGAAAGGAAAATAAAAGAGACACATCGTTTTGGCTTTGGAGCCTTCTTCAGGTGTGACACAAAACGTTGTGTCTCTTTTCTTTTCCTTTCAGCGCGGAATAAACCTTTGCCTCCTCCTTTGCATAATTCAAATCATACTTCTGTCCCTGACAAATGTCACGTGCTTAAGAATGCTTGTTTACACAACACTGCACCGGCGCTTTTCGTCTGTGGATGGCACTTTTTACTTAGATTTTCTGGTTTAGGGTTTCAGCTAAAGCAGGGAGGGGCAGTCCCTGGCCCCGAGGATTGGTGTGTCTGTAAGTTTTCTTAAGTAAGTAGGTCTCCTCAATGCAGCAGCTCCTCCCGCCTGAGCTGGGAAAAGTGGTGACATTGTCCCCATTGAGCTGATAATGAGCTGTTCCGAGCTGAGTTGGTAAGCAAACCTGAACAATGAACCAGGACCGTCCATCCTTGAGTTACAGAGTGGTACTGTGCCTTGGTTTTTTTTAAGAGATATTCACAGATGTGGATGGCAATGTCTTTCCTAGTTAACCTCAGTTTATCCTAATCCCTGCGGAGCTGTATAAGCCCCCCACTTCTGAAAGGCAGCTCTGTATCAGTGGAAACACCCGGGAATGGACCACACAAAGTTCGGACCTGATCAGCACTTTGAGAGTGGTACAGTATGCAGCAGCTGGTTGCGTAGATTTTCTTGACCCTTATGGGCAATGCGTTGGCTCTGTGGCTAAGGATCTGCGCCTGTGGTTGGAAGGTTGCTGGTTCAAATCCTGTGGCCAGCAGAGGAATCCTACTCCGTTGGGCCCCTGAGCAAGGCCCTTAACCCCAACTGCTCCAGGGGTGCTGTACAAATTGTTAACCTTGTGCTTTGTCCCCAGGCTTATCTCCCTGTCTGTGTGTCTCATGGAGAGCAAGTTGGGGTCTGTGAAAAGACAAATTCCTAATACAAGAAATTGCATATGGCCAATAAAGTGATCTTATCTTATCTCACTGGACCTGCTGGAGAAACAGGATGGGACAATGGCCTCTCATACAGTATTGTTGCACTGAGCAATAGTCTTAGACACACGATACCACCCTGGGGCCATTCAAAGTAGACAAAGTGACAAAGTAGATAGCTATTAAAGTCATCCGTCCATCCGTTTTATAACAACTTCTTCCTATTCAGGTTGCGGGAGAGCCAGAGCCTATCTTGGCAAACAAGGTGCAAGACTTAGTGTACTGAGGTGGAGTCCCACACTTCTGCTGGATACAAGTTATAAGACTTCACAAGAGCTCTTGGCATTTTTTTCCTTAAACTCACATGACCTTTCACTATTTGGATTTCTGTAAAAAGCGGCATAGCTTGTGTTGTCGCAGGTTATGATAGCGTTGATGCAGAAGAGTAAGCAGACAGTACTCTATTCAGTTGTGAGAATGTAGATGTAAGGTCAACTGATTAGCCAGGTGCCAAGAGCAACTTTGTTGTCTACATGGTCTTTGTGAGAAAACCTTTGTCATAATTGGCAGAAAACATTACACAAGACCTACTGTTTACACTAGATAGTGGCTTTCAGACATAAATCAGGAATTTTTCATCCTACAGTACATAACTGGGAAATCCTTGAACTAGATCCAAAAGTTACACTTGATTTTTATGACACTGATCTTTATTTTTGATACCAGAATTGTAATAGAATTTCTGAAATTAACTTAATTTCACACCAATATGCTTCAAAATAAGAGATACACAGCAATAAGTTCAATAAAATGTACAAAAATGTGTAAATTGAGCAAAATCAGGTTTATTGAGTTTATGTACCTAGTGTTATGTTTTAAATGTTTATATATGCCTTGCTCTCACTATTCTTGTCCCATCTGTAGAATTCCTTCCAGTTAGCCTTTGAGTATTCTTCAGTTTGTGTTTTTCTTGTAGTTGGAAACCTGTAAGACAGTAATATATAAAACAATAATATTAGAGGTCATGTCCAGCATTCTCCAGCTCTGTCTTCTAGTTCAGCAAGCAGCCTCCTGTTTCTTAAGTTGTCATAAAAATGTTTGTGTGCTAACTTAAGATGGCTAGTTGTCACTATAAGCCTTGTTTTAAAATTTACTGGGAGATGTCTACACCATGGTGAAGGTGTTTAATGATTCCATAATCCTAATTTAGTGATTGCTCACAATTCCCACTTAACAAGACTTCAAACCTCATAGTTACATTGGATTCTTATTTGACAGTTATTTATTAAATTTATTCTATATGTATAAATAAAATGTTAAATTGGAATTGGAACGTTGAGTGTCAAAATTGTCTGTTTGTGTAGTATTTTATTTGTATCATTGGATATATTATTGTACAGATCTCGAATTATTTTTTTATTTTGACATTTCTAAAGGTCCAAAAAGCAACTTGCTCAAAGGTTTCTGTGCACAAGTGAGTTAGGAACTCGGAAAGATTCTTAATGTTTGTTTATTATTAATTGTGACATTTATTGATAAGAATGCTTTCAAAACTTTCTCTTTGAAAACTACCGACATTTTCAGATACTATGGCACAACCATTAAGAGTCATGTTTTATTGTATTATTGAAGTATTGGACATTGGAAGACGTGGAATACTTATTGAAGTATTGGACATTGGAATACGTGGAATACTTATTGAAGTATTGGACATCTTTTTCTAGAGAGAACATGTCCCTGAATATTAAAAAAACACTTTAAGATTAAGAAAGCATTTCAGACCTGGTTCTGCATGGCTTTGATGTGCTGCTCCTGCTGGTTGATCTTTTCTTCTTGAATCGCTACCACTGCTTCTAGTTCAGTGAGAAGTCTTGACTGGACTTCTACTGAAGACTAGATAGAACGGAATCACGTTAGTGATCTGGATTTTCAGAACTGCCAGGCATGTTAGTAACAAAGCTTGATCGGACATTTTCAGTCAGTTATATGGTAGTTACGCGGTGTGCAGTGTTGTTCTATTTTAAATACTGCATGACAAACTATAAAAAAACAAAAGCTCTCTACGGAGGAACTGAAAAAGTCCTGAAATATAACTATTTTTTTTTGGTGTGTAATAAGGCTTTCCTGTTATAATTTATAGACAGGAAGCTTGCCTCTATAGATAATGACACGTTTTTGATGGTGTTTGCTTTAAGTAAGTTTTTCCTTCCAAATTCAGATTTAAAAAAAAAATTGGCTCTGTGATTGAAGCATCTAATGTGAGATAAATCCCTTTAAGAATGAAGATAGGAAATGGAAACAGGACCATCAAAGAAGGAACATGTGTTTGCCAATGTGAAAATACACTATCCCACTTACTTTGAGGAGAGTCAGATTCAGAGGCTGCTGTAGCCCCAGACTGGGTTGTGAGGTCCATTGCACCTTCCTCTCTGCAATGGCCAGTCTCTTGGTAAGGGCGTCCTTATAGACCTCCAGGGAGTCAAATTGATGCCTGAGCTCTTCGGCACTCTTCTGTAACATCTCACGCTGGACGGTGAACACTTGGCCATCTCTCTTTAAATCCGCCCACCTCTCGCGTACAGCGGCTCCCTTAGTGCGCAGCTCTGACAGTGTTTTGCTAAAGGCTGACAGGCTGTCAACGATGTTCTCCATGCGTTCGCCGCTGTAGATGGTCTCTTCCCTCAGAGCTGACGCTAGCTGCAGAAGACCATGCGAAAGAATATCAGCTTGCTCAGGAGGGGCAAAAAGCTCTTCTGGGTCTCGTCCTGGGCTTTTGTCACCCGGGCAGAGGCCAGGAAAGCAAAAGCACAACTGAATGATGTGGCTCGTCTTCATTATTGCCTGTGTCTTTTTTACTCTGCTTTTCCCTTGTGAAGACTGGGGGAGGGGGGGCTCCAGAGACAGGACAAGGGAATGGAGTGTAACTGTGAAGAGGCGTGAGACTGACAAAAACAAGAGGGAGTACCCTTTAAATGCCAGCCCATTAACTCATTAGCATGCAAACAAAATATCAACTTGTTAGTTCATAATCACTAGATTTTGGGTGTGTAATTGAAACTGCTGTTTTCTGGTCCGGAAGTTTAGGTTGGATATATTTTATATTAGTTCAGGTGGGTAGCTGCGTCAGCATGCGTAGGCTGCAAAGGAACAAGTAATAGGTTTATTCCATGCTGAAAAAAAGAAAAAAGAGAACACAACGTTTCGGCCGTGGAGCCTTCTCCAGGTGTCAAGAAGAAGGCTCCACCTGGAGAAGGCTCCACGGCCGAACCGTTGTGTTCTCTTTCTTCTTTTTTTCAGCATGGAATAAACCTATTACTTGTATATTTGATATTGACAATTTAATGCCAAATGTAGGAACAGTCCACTTGACAGTAGATTGCTATGAAATATGGTATAGGTATGCCTTATTTTTTATGGCCTGTGTTTAATATGAAATATTCTTGTCTTTTTTGGAACTCTGTACAAATCACATCAGTGTTGGAAGTCACTTGTGAAAACTACAGTTCTAAGGTATTTGCTGTAAAGCACTTTGGCAAGCCTGATCACAGGTAACATACCTACTGTATACGAACATACGAACTATGTTTATTGAAAGGTCCAAACTTTCTTTATATTTATAATTATAACAACAAGAATATTTCAGTAGATAGCAAAAATATCTTAAAAACAATTCTGTGTTTAAACACCAGAGGGAAACCTTCTGTAGGACCCAAATGAGCGATAAGGCTTCTGGACTGGTTTGTGTTCAGCTGTCAGTGGTTGTGCTTTTACAGTATTAGGCATGGTTGCTGAAATAGAGAATGCAACTTTGTTCTTATGTTGTACTTTTATTTTATATAAATTACAGATTTTTAAGTCTTTCTTTTATTTTAATTACTTTCATATCATGTAATCCTTTGCTGTTTAGAACAACACAATCACTTCAAGTGACCAAAACCTCTTATTTCTTTAAAGATACCATGCTAATTATGTAAACATTGAGTGTCATACAATTGAGCTCTGAAGTGTGCAACTATTCCTAACAGTGATACAGGTTTGTGGGATGACATGCTGTAGCAAACATAGTCCAAGCATTCCTGTGTTGTTTCCTTGAACTTTTCCTTCCTTGGCATATCATCAACAAGACAGAAATAAACACCAGTGCAGAACCTTGAAGAGCATGTTTTTCTACTACCCTGGGCTATAAACCATTTTGAGACTCATTAGTTCTGGCAAAAAACACCTTTTGAAGAAATAATATAGAAATTAATTCAACAGTAATGAATTTCTGATTTTTAATGAGAATTAACATTAAAACCACAATGTAATATGTTTGTGGTTGGTTTGATAGGTTTTCTACTGTACACATTCATTTTTCTAATGGAGAGGTTCAAAGTACTCTCTTGTTGTGATTAGGTCTAAGCATAAAATGTCCCAATTAAGAAATGTTTTACAGTAATGAAAAGTGATGATGATGATAATGATGGTGGTGCAAGGGCATGGTGGGTAATACTGCTGCTTGACAGCTCTTGGGTTCTCTGTTCAATTCTGGATTGGGGGAGACCTGTGTGAGGAGTTTGTAAATTATCCCTGTGTATCCCTTCTATACATATGTGTTTCCTGTGGGTGCACCAATTTGCTTTCACTTTCCAAAGATGATAATTGGTTAGTTGGTGCCTCTGAACCAACTGTATGTGTCCTGTGATAGAATAGAAATTAAAACTTAGACCATAATGAGTTGTTTCAGTATGAATTGTGTTTTTTTATACATAGAAGAATTAACTGCTTGTTTAAAGGTTGAGGAACATATCGAGATCCTAATACTTCATTTGTAAAAGGCATGAGAATGGGACATTACCCAAGGAACATAGGTATCAGTTAAGTGAACATTTCAAGTTTTCTCTGTTGTGGAGAAACGTTACATCACACAATTCATAAAACTGCTCAAACTTTGAATCATTCAGACCAAATTGTTGTGAAACATAATAGCACATTTAGGTTTAGTAGATACTGGAACCTATGGATGAAAACGAAGGGGTACGTGATCCAGGATATCCAGTTTAAGGTTGTGCAGGTCAGTGTTATTACTATTATTTGCTTAGCAGGCAGTAAGAGGCACACCACAGGTGATAACAAGATCCCACACCTGACCTTTGTAATATCAATATGCTGATTAGAGCCACACAGTTCAGGAGAGCACAGCTGTCTTCTATCTGCTAAGAAAAGAATAGTATTGTAACGCTTCGGGGTTCTGGCGGGCACCCTTGCCGTTGCCGCTTACGGTCGGCCCCATACCGTCGGGGACGCGATCGCAGCCCTCCGGCGTCACCCAACAGGGACCCAGCCTGGTGAGCTAAAGAGAGATCTCCCCCCAGCCCAGCGGCTGTGGTCCTGCTATCACAGGGAAGGGCGGTGACGTCACGGCTCTGGTAAGCTAGCTCTTACACAGTGCCTGTCGGCCGTATGCGTTACAGTATTGAGAGTTGACATGAGTGTTAAAATCTCTTAAAATATAAATAATTTTGTCAAAATTATTCCAAAACAATCTTGACGCGTTACAAGAAAGTGTGAGGATCCTTCCAGTAAATTAGTCATTTACAAATGACTGCATTTCTGCAAACTCCTACTTGTTTTTGTTGTTAAAAACCTGGTAGCTGCATGAGTAAACTCCTGAGTTTGCACACTTCTGTCTTGACTTGCGTTAATTATGTTGTATGCTGGAGTTGTAAACTTACGATAATGCTGTTGAAGCTTGTAATTGAGCTGCCTCACAGCTCTTGGGTCCTGCGATCATGCTCATGCTGAGCTGCCTTCTCTGTGGAGTTTGTGTGTTTTCCTCCATGTTCATGTGGGTTTTTTCCCCACCTTCCAAAGAGGGCAGAGCTATCTGTAAATTGGTCATGTGTGCTGTATAGTGGGCTGGTTTTCCATGTAGGGTGTAGAGTTCTGCATTCTGCCCTTTACTTCAAGGATAGGCTGACGCCCCTGTTGTAAGGAAAAAAAATGGGCTTTGATTATTGAAGAATGGTATAGCGACATCTAGATGATATACTAGATGATATAGCGACATCTAGTGTTCAAGGGCGGAATTGCAAGACTCTGAAGGATGTAAGCCAAAGGGCTGGAAAAACAAAATAAACTAAAATTGGTTTTATCTGTTCACTTTCCTTCTGAAAATCAACAACAGGTAGGTTTTTGAAAAGTGGTGCACAGATGATGTTTAGCTTCTCCATTCATATTGTTTCTTAAAAAGCAAAAAGAATGGGAAAAACTGAATTGTGAAATTGGCACCATTTCCTCTTAACCTCCTACCACATCAGCTACCAGCACAAAAAGACCCAGGCAGGCAATGTGGAAATGCTAAACTGACACAGTTACAGCACAGCGGAGCACTTCGAAATTCTAAGCAGGCCTGTGAAGCACAGAAGCTCTTTCATTTCACACCCAGCTTGTTTATTGTTTACTTGTTTACTACACCTCACACAGCAGAGTTCCCAGTGACAACAGGATGATTTTTAGTACAGTATTGGCAAAGAACTAGGTTTCTGTATACCGGTGTAAAAATAATGTTGAGCTTCACCATTCCTATTGATTCTTAAGAAGCAAAAAAAAGGGGGAAATACTAAATTGTGATATAATTGATGAAGAAGGCTACACAGCCAAAACGTTTTTCTTGTTCTTTTCCTTTCTGCGTGGAATTAATCTTTACCTGTTCCTTTGCAGCCTACGCATGCTGACCGAGCTATAGTACCTACTCAAACTGATTTAATCCCGTTTTAGTTTGCCAACCTTAACTTAGAGCTTGCCAATTACACTTGAGTCTCCTGAACCCCAGTGAAATGGAGCAGATCTAATTTATTATGATATATATATAGAATGTTTCTTAATAGGTGTCTCTCTGGCCTTCATTCTCACTAGAGCTAGTAAAAATAGACCTTGTTTTGGAGGGACCAGGGGAAGAGTGCATGTAACCTCCTCTCGTCATCATGGTTTGAGGCTATATTGGACCAGGACTAATTCAAAACAATGTCGCTTGCTTTTCCAGAAACCTTCTCTTCGTCTATCCACAAAGGCTGAGCTTTGCTAATCGGCTGGCATCTGCAAGGAACATCTCGGTCAAGACGCAGTTCATGTGTGGGGAGGATGCAAGCAGTGCCATGCCAGTGCGTGACACACTTCAGTTTTCTCTCCTGCTAAAAAGTAGCCATAGAAAAACATAAAATACAGTATTTATTGCATGATTACATTTTCTCAGTCTTTTGAAATTTTGCTACATATTTACAGATTTAAATTGATGTTTCATTGATCTTTCAATCTCTACTGTATATAAAACATGTCAAGTTGAAATTAAAATGTTCAAAATAGTGACTAGTTACCTGCATACACCATGAAAGTGAAATCATCTGTACCATGGAGCTTTTGTACTGTACTGTAATTTAGAAAACATTTAGTATCATCCTGTTTTTTCTTAGGTCATTTTCGGGAAGTCCAGTGGACCTGATTTTGTACAGGAAGTGTACACACCTGTTACTTACCACAATAAGTAAGTATTTTTCAGGGGAAAATTACATTCTTCGTTGTGTTTTTCAGTGGTTTTTAAAAGTAAAGGCTTTCTGGAAGTGGTATCAGTTTACAGCTCATCTGTAGTAGTCCTGGCACTGGAGAGTAGTGACATGGTGCATTTACATGATTAGGTGTTTTTCTATCTAACTAGCAGAAAGAATAACGTGTCGTGGTAATTTCCTTGAAACAAGAAGCCTCCTGTTTTTCTCTGTTCATGTAGAGAGACAATTCTAAACAAAATCATTAGAAAAACACTCCTTTAAAACAAAATCTTTTTATGTTCTGATGGATTGTTTTATTCATAAACAAGCTTTGTGACTATACAAGTTTTGCAGAAGTAAAGTAGCGCAAATATTCTACAGATCAGGTGTTTTTTTTTCCTTTTTGCACAGGGCTCCTGACTTTTACGAAGAAGTGAAAATCAAGCTGCCAGCCAAACTTACAGAGAGGCACCATCTCCTCTTCACCTTCTACCACATCAGCTGCCAGCAGAAACAGACCCAGGCAGGCAATGTGGAAACGCTCATTGGATACTCGGTGAGCCTCAGCTCTTTTCAGCCTAAACTGCCACATGCGGCATTAAGTGGGGGCGTGTTCAGTATGGAGGCGGAGCCTTGGATTAAGAGCAATGTGTTGCCTTAGCAATCACAGCTGTCCTGGCTGATTAAGGATGAGCCGCAGCTGTGGGGGTCCTGTGAGTCAAACTGAGAACCTCCCCGGAGGGACGAGCAGACCCCCGCAAGGGGAAAACCTTCCGGCAACAGTCCCGGAGGGGGTTGTGGAGAGAGCATTAAAGCTGCGATTATGCTTCTTTTTCTTTTCTCCTGATGATTCACCAGGGCAGGTTGAATTTTCTTTTGTTTTTGGCCTTGCTCTCCTTTTCTTTCAGTGTGGACCCCGTTAAACAGGGACAGTCCAGTCTGGACGCCGCTGTGCAAAGTGGCGTGTTTTTTCTTTTTCCTTTTTTGCTAGTCTCACACTGGTGCCTACCCCCTCAGACGGGGCATCGACCTTTATCGGTGTTCACCGCGGCCCCTCCCACTCTCACAGTGTTCCACACAGTTACCACACAGCTGAGCACCTCGAAATTCTAAGCAGGCCTGTGAAGCACAGAAGCTCTTTCATTTCACAGCCAGCTTGTTTATTCACCAAAGCCAACACAGCAGAGTTCCCAGTAATGACGGGATGATTTGTAGTTCAGTATTTACAAAGAAACGTACTCTACGGTGAGAGAAGGTGCACTTTGAAATAAATGGAATGTTGTCATGTACAGCACCGGGCCGTCTGATATTGTCATTGCTGAATTTGTCTGTTGCTGCACATTGCAATTTAACATATTTGCCAGTATTGCTTGTACTGCAAAATGTATTTTTGCTAGTTCTGTATAAGTACAAGCATTAGCCTGTTTGATAACAACATAGTTTTTGCACACCTTTGCAAAACATTGCACACTTTTGCAGTCTGGATGTTTTCGATATAGAATAAATAATATATTTAACAATGGATGCTGTGCAGGGAGGTTGTTATCCCACATTTGAAATCTGTAATCTTATATGTTTTTTAAAGGCATTATTATAAAGCTTCAGAGTTTTTGACGTCTTCAAGTAGGGTAAACCCACAAATGTGTTGCTTACCATAAACCTTACAAATAAAAGCCAAAAGGCTTTACTCAGTTGTAATTATGTAAAGCCCTTACACATGTGTTCATTTGATTTTGTTTAATTTCAGTAAATAGAGAAAACCAAGGGACGGCCATCTAGCCTATTTATCTGCTCATAGTGCTTAATCCATAGGGCTTATCTAGCTGCCTTTTGAATGAAACCAGGGTCCCAGCTCTGCCACACATGGCTTGGTAGCATATTCTAGACTCTCCCAACCCTTTGTGTAAAAAAGTCCTTACTTCTCACATTTTTTAAATTCAGATTTAAATACTCAGCTTTAAATAATCAAGTGAGTCTTTATTGTGTGTTACAGTGGCTCCCTATTGTAACTAATGATAAATTGCAAGTTGGACAGCACTGCCTACCTATAGCCTTGGATCGACTGCCCAGTAACTACTCACTGCATTCTCCAGAGGTATGTTTAATTGGCACTAATTTCACTTTGCACTTTTCTTCCTTAGAATCTACTCAGATACTTACCTCAGTATCAGGATGGATGGTTTCGCTAATGCAGTAGTATCCAAATTTTCCTACCTACTTTTTAAAATATTTATTGTGCTAGGATGTTTTTAAGCTTTATCTACCAACAGGAATTTACTGTACATACAAACAGAGAAGACTGATATCTAGGCATCTGAAATTAACCAAGCAGTATTCAGCTTTACTTCAAACATTTTTTTGTTCCACAGAAAGTCCCTCTACAGAATCCTCCTGTAAAATGGGTGGAAGGCCACAAAGGTGTTTTCAGTCTTGAAATACAAGTAGTATCTTCTGTTCACACACAGGTAAGGTGCATTCCTGGTTAAATCCCCGCGAACAAACAAACTAAACTGGTTTTGTATTCGGTATTCTGCGGTATTTAAAGATTGTAGAAGGAAGTGCTTTATATTAGTGATTTATTTAAAGTAAAGACAAGAAAACTGGACATATATTCAGTAGATACTCATGTAATTTATACGTAGAGTAAGACTGCCACAACTGGCAGTAATTGTGTTGAGGGCAGTATAAAAACTTAAGTTCTTGTAATGCTCATCAAAAGAGATATGCTAGTTTAAGTAAAAAACATTTTTCCATGCTTTGTAGCCAAGATAGTTATGTTATTTAACCCTCAGAGATTTTGACTCACAATTTAACTAGACTGCAGTGTATAATTCTCCCATAATTATGTAACAGATAAGGAAAGAGGCAATACACATTAAACAGGAGTAGTACAGGGTAAATAATTAATCGGTGACTGAACCATGGACATGTGTGAGTTTGCATTTGTACTTTTGCTTTTAGCTGAGTTGCCCATAAGCCAGACCATGCAGTAGTTTAAAATCACAGTATACCTAGCAGAATGCATTTAACATTGCAGCTCACAAATCAAGGCTCATTTACTGCATTTATTTTGGAAGTTACTTGATTGAGTGTACATTTTTCTAGATTTTTGTTTAATGTGAAAGTATTAAAGGGACATCATAAAGGCCACAAATGGGAAAATGTAGTGTAGTCAGCATCATGCCAAGCACAATCTTCACTTGAGCTCTTTTGAAATCGGTCAATAAAGCAGCTACGAGTCCAAGTTTATAAAGATCATAAAGTCTTGCAGATAAGTTCATGAACCCTAATTCTGTACAGTTCAATACAGTTTATATTATACATTGTCCATCTCTTGCTGAAGAAATTAGCAGTCAATTTTAGTTCTCCCCTTGCTTCTATATAATGGGTAGCTTAAATAGACATTTAAATGGACTGTTGTGTGGTCACTACACATTTTGATAAATACCCGGTAGTATTTATAGTGTCAATAGGGTTTAAAACTAGAAGTTGCATGTTTTTTCACTCAGTAAGAATGAAATATTGTAAAATTACAGAGCACTTTGACTTTTTCTTGCTGATCAGATTGTCATATTTTTTGCATATATTCACATATTTGGTGTAATATAACACTAACATACATACAGTAACTGCATTAGTCATCTTTTTAACCTTCTGATTTTCCATTTATCTTAGATGCATTACTTTATTATTTACTGCTCTTTTGCAGATAAAGTTATGAAATAACTTTTAGTATTTAAGTGTTTTTTCTCATATGATTGCAATACATTGTACATTTACCTACAACATATAGTACGTCTAATAATAGATATTTTATAAAGTGCTTTTTATCCTTTTTTTCCCTTACTATTTTACTTCATTGGTTAATTAAACCAATTAGCCACTGCTTCCCAGACTTTGACTTACCTTTGAAATTAGCCCATTCTGCACTTCAAGCAGAATATCTTTAAAATGTGTCTTATCTACTTCTCTTGAACTCTTTTTTATTCCTTTATACTGTCTGCTTTTCTGAAATCATGAACTTTTTGCATTCTACATTTTTATAATATTCTTCAAAGTATATCATATTTGTCTGGTTTCTTACTGCATGTCTCACCTTTTCCTTATCCTATTTCACTTGTTTGAAAAGACTAGATTTATTCATTCATTCCTTCTGGATGGTGCCTAGACTACCCAGGACAGTAGCTGTGATACTAGAATTTTTGGTCTCAACTTCTGAAATCCTTGATCCGTGTGAGGAAACCCACATCTCCCATTTTGTTACATGTGACTGTATATTAATTGATACCTGAATTTGACAGTCTGTAGTATTTCTGCCCTTATGCCTTTTGAATTTTTTTATAGATCTGATCTGCATATATTCTGAGACCCCTATTCCTACTTCAGTTCCTGTGCCTGAATGTATAATGCTACACCTCCACCTCCTCCATCTTCCAGTCTCTTCTGAACATTGTGTATCTGTGTTACTGCTGTGTTATTCACTGTCACTTTCAGCTATCCATGTCTCTTTACTTCCCTTCACATCACACACATATGGCGATACATTAGATTGTGTTTCTTGTATACAGTTCCTAACAGTCCTGGCATTTATATATAAGCATTAATTACCAGGTCCTTTGAAGTCCTGCTTTTTTCCTGGAGGGTTTTCTTTTTGTCTCCACTCTCTGTGTTTATTGTGTTGTTCACTTTTCTATTGTAGTTTAAATGTTTTGGATTTTCTTTGTACTGTAGATCATTCCCCAGGCAGATTGGTACAGTACCTTTCTCATTCAGTTGTAATCTAGCATATCTTGTTCCCACTGGCCCAGAGTGCAGAAGCATCCTTCAGAATATCATACAAATGCAAGGAAAGACCATGATTAATTCTTCGTTTAAGATGGAGTTAGCTAAGAAAGTGGTTTCCTTGGTTTGTATCAAAGCTGTTATTGCAACTTTTGTAAAACAGAAATATCCTGTTTTTTTTTCCCTAGGATAATCATTTGGAAAGGTTCTTCACTCTGTGTCATGCCCTGGAGGGTAAAGTCACATTTCCAATTCGTGTTCTGGAAGAAAAGATTCCTGAAAGCAAGCTGGAGCAGGAGCTGAAACTGAGCATCATCTCCCTTTCCTCGTCTCGGCTGGAGCCCCTCGTCCTCTTCCTGCACCAGGTTCTGGACAAGCTCTTCAGGTTGATTGTGCAGCCCATGGTAATCGCAGGACAGACAGGTAGGGAGGCCTTCTTTCTTTGGAGAACTGAGGTCACATTGTTTTGATATTCACTAAATCAAGTCAAAATTGATTTTCATTAAATAATAATTTCTTACACTTATATAGCGCTTTTCGTGACACTCCACTCAAAGCACTTTACAGGTAATGGCGACTCCCCTCCACCAATGTGCAGCACCATCTGGATGATGCAATGGCAGCCATAGTGCACCAGTATGCTCACCACACACCAGCTCTCAGTGAGGAGGAGAACAGAGTGATGAAGCCAGTTCATAGATGGGGATTATTAGGAGGACATGATTGGCAAAGGCCAAAGGGACATTTGGCGAGGATGCCAGGGTAACACCTCTACAAATTTTTCAAAACTCCCTGGGATTTTTAATGAGCACAGAGAGTCAGGACCTCGGTTTTACGTCTTTATTTTTTACATAACCTGTTGTTGTTTGAGTTAGGTTGCTGCAAAATATATATTTTTTCTATTAATCAGCGAAATCTCGTTAATATAATCATGCGCTCAGGCTTTCCTTTTATGTGGTTCAATCCACGGCAACATATCCAAGAGTGGTGGGTATCTGGAACAAGCTATCTGTTAAGATAAGAGAGAGATAAGATCACTTTATTGGCCATATACAATTTCTTGTATTAAGAATTTGTCTTTTTCACATACCCCAACTTGCTCTCCATGAGACACACAGACAGGGAGAGAAGCTTGGGGTCAGAGCGCAGGGTCAGCCATTTATACAGCACCCCTGGAGCAGTTAGGGTGAAGGGCCTTGCTCAGGGGCCCAACGGAGTAGGATTCCTCTGCTGGCTGCGGGATATGAACCGGTAACCTTCCAGCCACAGGCACAGATCCTTAACCACAGAGCCATCGCACTGCCCCCTTTTTTTGTTGAAGTCAATAACCTTGCTTTTTTCAATGAACGGCTGAGATCCTCAACTAAATGGACTCGATTAGCTATTAAATAGAGTTCTTGACTGAAGTTCAGGAGGGATGATGACAACCAAGTCACCCTTTGCCCCAGCTGTCCCGAATCATAATCATTCTCAACATTTTTGGACAGCTGTACATACACATCTTTAGCAAATCTCTCTTTTCATATTTCATCTCACGTGTCCTTTTCCACCCCTCCACTCCTTCCCCATCTTTCCAGCAACCCCTGGGTTTACATCTCTCTGCATGTGGGGTCCCAGCCTCCAGGTCCTCCAGGCATGTTAAGCCAAACTTCAGTCAGTAAACTCAATAATACCTACATACTCCTTAACTGCATGTAATTCTCGGACGTTATTTCTCGTGAACTACCAAATGGACAAGATGGGCTGTCTCCTCTCATCTGTAACAGTAATTGTGGCCCAAATTGTTCTCAAGCTAGCAGCGTGGATCAGTGGTGAGGGTTCTTGCCTCATATCTGAAAGGTTGTAAGTTTGAATCGCAGGCAAGGTACTACTGTTGTACCCTTAAGCAAGGCCTGATTTGTTCTAGCAAAAAAGCCAGCAGTAAAAATCGGTATGAATGTAAGTTTCTTTGGATGAAAGCATCAGTCATATAAGGATTAGTCTTATGTTCAATGATGTCTGATCTGTTTTACAGCCAACCTTGCCCAAATTGCTTTTGAATCTGTGGTGTCAGTCGTGAACAGCCTCCACAACAGCCAAGAACTTGCCAAGGATCAGCATGGACGAAACTGTCTCCTGGCCTCATATCTGTATTATGTGTTCAGACTTCCAGATACACAAAAAGAGATATTAAGCACAGGTAATATCTGAACAGGCAATTTTTTTTTAAATAAAGAATCGTTATGTTCTTTCATATATTGTCATGTCAAGCTGTTATTTCAGAGGCCAGTTTGAAAAAAACAAGTAGACAAGGTTCTGTCTTCAATCTTGTGGGAAATAAGAAAAACAGTCTTTCTCCATGTGAGAAATTGATTATGTTTTTTAGAAGTGTAACATTGAGTGGACAAGGAACATTCATGAGTGAATTCTAGAATTCTAGGCTCTTATTTCATTTGGTTTCATAGAGATAGTTTAATCTAAATCCCAGGCCGGACAAACGTGATTTCAGACAGTAGATTTCAACAGACCACACTGGCAAAGGCATGCAGCAATGTGAACACGCTGTCTCCTGGCCTCAGGATCGGGGACGTCCCTGCTCCACCCGGAAAGCCGCTACAACACGATGGGCCGTGCCAGCGCCTCCTCTGTGGGCACCAGGCTCCTGCAGTCGCGGGTCCTCAGCAGCAGCAACCCAGACATCCCAGCCCCACAGACTGCTGACGACGAGGAGGTGAAGAGCATCCTGAACTCCAAGGTGCTGCACCAGGGGCTGTGCTGGGGAGTCTAGAGGGGGATCCTTCTCCCCATTCACAAAAATAATTAATGCATCATATAAATATAAATATAAACGTACATATTATATATATATATTAAGTTTTAAATATAATATATATTAAGTACTCCGAGTTTACAAAATAAATTAGATGAGTTTTTATCAGCATGTTTGTGTGCACATACTGTATAGGTCTGTTTGTCTCAGCAGCGGCAAGTCACGATAAATAAGATAAGATAAGGCACACATCCCTCCTTTTAGGACATTGAACAGAAGACTTAGAGGTCACAAATGGAAAGTGTATTTAAATCCGAAAGGATTTAAGGATTTAAAGGAGGCAGATCTTTGCACAAAGTACTGTGGTAGTGTGGAACAGGCTTGTCGTTAAACTGGAAACCCTGGTTTCTTCAAGAAATGACTGGGTGATATTACTGTCTATACTAACTACCATAGGGGGTAAATAGGCCGAGTGGCTTCCTTTTGTTTGTAACTGTTTCTATATCCTTTTTATTTTGTTGCTTTTACAGTAAATCTTCTAAAAGCCCTTCAAAACCATGGACATGTTGACTAATACTTAGGGTAGACTTGTAGTTTACCTTAGAATAGTTTCTGACGTATTTGTGTTTGTGCCCGAGTGAGTTCTCAGAATTGGCAGAGATTTTGCCTTAGTGGGCTCCAGCTTTGTTCGCTGCCACAGGAAAACGTCATGATCACCCCTTCCTTGTGATGGCAAACTGTTCAGAAGCATTCCTGTGGGATAACTGCACACATCAGCCACGCAAGGGAAAAAATTCCATTGGTGACGTCACATATTGTACTGTCTGTGCCTCCACTCCCAAGCCAGAATCAGCACGTGTAGGCACGGTTAATTTTGTGGAGAAATGTGTTACATTTGAGGGTGTTATAAGTAGTAGCAGTTGTTCTTACTACAGTATGTATCATTCTCTGTCTGTTTAATCATAGGATTAAAGCCAAGTCATAGCCGAGTCTAATATGACTGTGCGTTTAGGATGTATACGGTTAGAATCCATTTAAAGCAGTGATAGGTACAATTTAGTTTCCTGTCTTGTTTGCTTAAAAACTGCAGTGTTTGCAAGAGGAATTAAAACAGCATTTTAAGACTGTAATCAATTAAAGCCTTTAAAAAGTTCTGCTAGCACAGAAGTAAATTTCAGAGAAAAGGCACGATTCAAAGCAGGTATCCAAGTTAAATTTGTTAAGACGTGATTTGCTGAGTTTGTGAGATGTCTTCTTATTTCCTCAAATTTCTTTCCCCTCAGGGCCTCAATAACCCTGGCAACCGCATGTCTTCCTATATAGAAGTTGCCAACCACTTCCAAAATGTTTCAGGGGGTCCCAGACCTACAAATAAAAAGGTAGGCACTGTCCACTAGAGGGCGATGCAACATTAAGTGTCCATAACAACGTGGGAATTATTGCCAAGTTCATTACTAGTGATTGAGACCCTCTCTACAGGTTATTGCACATCCATTACTTAGATTCATGTACATTTAGAAGCATAAAAACTTGTAATAAAACTTCACGTAGTGATATTACAATCCTGTAATGTTTCCTAAAAATAGACTATTATCTACTGACATCAACATCACACACTGACATCAGCATCACACTGTACTTCATGAACATGCTGTTTCTTAAAGATCAAAGGTTTCACACACAGTGGACCTGTTAATTAAGTGCCTCTCTGTTGGTAAGCCCTGGGTACAGTGTATGCTTGACTCACCTTGTTCTTTGTAAGCATCTAATCAAGGAATACTGTGTTCAGTTTTGGACACCATACAAAGAAAATTATATTATAGTCCCAGAAAGAGTTCAAAGATGAGCAACAAGAATGATTCCTTCTTCAAAGAGGATTGTCATAGTCAGACAGGTTAAAGGAGCTGAGTCCTTGCAGTGCACAACAAAGGAAATTGATCAAACTACATAAAATCCCAAGGGTATAGATAGAGCAAACACAAGAGAATGTTTCACATTCAGTGCTTCAAGAAGGACGTAAGGTTACATTTGGAAACTAAATGGGACTTTGCTTAGGACAGAGAGTAGGAAATGCCTATTCAAGAGTTGGGGGTTTGCAGATTAGAATTCCCTTTCTTAGCTTCTTGGTATTGAGTTTGTGAGGTAAGGCCCCAGTTCCAGATACAACATTTTATTTTTTTACACCCCTTACAGCAATTCCATGAGGAGCTTGCTCTTCAGATGGTTGTCAGTACTGGAGTGTGCAGAGAAAATGCCTATAAATATGCCTGGTTCTTCTTTGAGCTTCTGGTAAGGATCTATGGACTTTGCCTCACTGTAAAAGAAGAGTCTTCACAAGTTAGGGTTTTTTTGGAAACTGTGTAATGTAACTGTATGTATAAATGCAAACAGAATCTCCTATATGTGTGAAGACATTTTTAGCATCAATAACATTAAATGTTTTTTAAATGAAGAAATACCCTCAGGAACCTCTGCCTCTGTATTTAGCACTTTTAATAATTTTCTACTAGACCTTTTAAAACAAAAGTATTTTAATTCACCTCAATTTAAAGTGCTATAACATTTCTAGTCAAAATAGTGCCTTAACACTTCTTTCTGAAAGCTACTACATCCAGACAAAAGTGATGAGACCCAAACGAATGAATTTGTAGTATGCATACAGAATAATGTGTTGTGGACTTTATGTCACAAAAAGATTTATACTTAAATTGATAATGTGATACTTCATAGCAATTTGAAAGACTCCTGGGCTGCCTCCTTGGTCAGATCTTTTTAACCCCGGCTTGTCATAATCGTGAACTGAAACAGGATAGATACGATTCATGTGATAACCAGTTAAGTAGCCAGAATGTATAAAAAATCAAGCACAATGAGGTTAACATTTCCATACCCCAGTCTGGTGCATTGTTCCAAATATGACTGTTACGGTTCCCCGCAACCAGAGACAAGCCTCTAACTCTGCCAATTCGAGAAGGCGTGGCCCGTAGGACTAATTAACCAATCAGTTCTCCTGCTCACCACCACATCTCCCAGACTACTTTAGAGCTATCCACAGTTAGCTCGGTGCTCGGTGTTGGGTTTCAGTGGCGAGCCTCACGTTCACGCTTTCTGAAAGTTAACCTTCTTGTGTGTTGCTGGTTCCTGCACTCCGTTTCTGCTTGACCACGGCTTTCGGATCTCACTCTATGGTTAAGAACGCCTGGCTTCTTGACCCCTGTTCCTTAAACTTAAGTAAACTACCGCTGAGGGTCCTCAGGACCATCTACTCCAGCTTACACTGGCGTAACAGTGACTACATTCATGTCTCTTGGTGTTTGGTAACTCCGCAGGTGAAGAGCATGGCCCAGTACGTCCATCAGATGGAGAAACATGACATCCCTCGTAGGAGCCGCTTCTCTGATAGGTTCAAAGATGACATCACCACTATAGTGAATGTAGTGACTGCTGAGATTGGGACAATTTTAGTGAAACAGCAGAAGGTAAACGAAGACTCGTCCTATGATCCCAGCTGACGGAGCAGCTCTCATTATGGCACTGCATCCTTCTTTCAAGTAGAAGTTGTGGGACCATTAGCTCCAGTATTAACACAGCTCCTTAATTGCAGAATAGATGTGGTATATATTGCAGGCGTAAACCTTGAATCTCATAACTGATATACAACACACTCTTTTGAAGCAATCATATTCATTTTGATTGTGATCTAGTGAAATCGGATGATTTCCAGACTGACACGTTGTTCTGACAAATGATAAATTAGTAATTGCAGAATGTGATGGTAGTTGCTGCTTTGCGTGACATAACCCTTAGTGCTCTGCGCTGATTTGCCAACAGAACAGCAGATGCAGCAGAGAAAATCAGTCTGAAATCTGGCAGAGTAGATTAGTGCCATCTAAATTATTCAACTTTATTGAAACACATTTTTTATGGCTTAAAGAAGAATTACCTTAATGTTAAAGGTATGTAACCTGAATCAAAGAAATTTAGATTTGCCAATTAGATTCTTGCATAAGTATTCAACCCCTTTGCTGTGGTAACCCTAAATCAGTACAGGTGTAAAAGAACATTTTTAAAGGTCATAAAATTAATCTCTCTGTCTGTGTGAAATGTAAGTTGTTTAACATTATACTGCAGAGTAAACACATCTGTCTCTATAAGTTTTCACAGTTCCAGGTTGAATTTCAGGCTATAACTCACATAATATGAAAATGAATAGTGATGATGAACAAAACAGGAATACAGTGGTACAGAGGCAAAAATCAGGAGGTTGCAAGCAATATAGAATGTGCTTATCAATCATAAAACTGGGTTGAATGACAAAGACTCAAAGCTTAAGGCCCACAGCCACAGTGGTGTTACAAGAAAAGAGTGGAATTCCTTGAGTCGCTCAGACAAGGTCCTGACTTAAATCCAATATAATACGTTTAGAATTGAAGACTGTAGTGGTCCATTACAGATTACTAGTGAACTTGCAGGAATTGGAGACATTTTGTCAAACAATTGTCAAAATGTATATCATCATGCTATACAAAAGTAGCATATACCTATCCAAAATGACACAGCATTAATTTCTGTTAAAGCTGCTTCTCCTATGTCCTAATTTAGGGAGCTGAATAATTACACAACATTCAACCTTCTTGGCATATAACAGTGTTCAGTTTTAAATCACAAAGTTCATTTGAAAAAAGGTGCATATGTTTGTAAGGCACTGAATTGATCTGCCTTTTTACAGTTGGCATGAAAGATGTTGTGATGTTGAGTGGCTGCTGATTTTGGACTTTTTTAAAAGCACTCTGTATAACATTGCACTTAATTGGTTTTAGGAAGTTGAGCAAGCTGAGAAGATCAACATTAGCTTGGCGTTTTTCCTGTATGATCTCCTGTCTCTCATGGACCGCGGCTTTGTGTTTCACCTTGTGAGGAACTATTGTAATCAGGTAAGTTGTTCTGTTTATTGTATTGTACCAAGGACTAATGAAAAATGAAGTCAACAAGTCCATTGGTTTCAATAGACGCTATTTTCAAAGTGGATATACAGTATTCTAAAACCACTTCACAAATTATACGAAGGAATGACATACTGTATGTACAGCAGATTAAATGTATGGTAGGTCAAGTACATAGAAACAATTAGGTATTCAGAAAATAATTTGTATGGAACTGTGACAAGAAAAAATAGGAAGTTGATTCAAATTGAGCTAAGAAATGTTTTAGTTTTTAGAGGCATTTGTGTTATTTCACTCTTATTCCAGGAGAGACTGAATAAAAGTTTATTTCCTTTTTGTGACTATAGGGTATAAAATGTGTTTTTCTGATATTCACTGGTGTGGAGTAACATGTTTTACTTGAATCTTAAGTAGGCTACATTTTCCTTTATGGAGTTGACAAGTCACTCTTTTTCAGATGTCAGCAAAGTCCGTCTCGATCCCGACTCTCATATCGATGAGGCTGGAGTTCCTGAGGATCCTGTGCAGCCATGAGCACTATCTCAATATCAATCTCTTCTTTGTCAGTCCAACCTCTGCCCCAGCCTCCCCTTGCCCCTCTATCTCCTCCCAGGTGGGTCTGTGGTTCTCAAGTCTTGACAAGATGATCGCTCTCTAGTCTCCTAAGTAATGTTGCATTTTTCCCAGTTTTTTTACCATTACACATTAACAGAATTTTTAATCGATACAGGACATTTTCTAACTAATTGGAATTATCAAAGACCTGCTCATATGCAAGGGGTAGCTAATGCTTTAACAATCTAATAGATACACAAATAATACAGTTCTTTCAAGATAGCACACATAATGCAGCAATGAAATTTAGTACATAATACAAATACTGTAAAGCAGTGAAAAAAACATTTTAAGAAGAGCTGTGTCAGTGTGCAAAGAGGTCGGAGGTCATTTCCATGTAGAAATAAGAAAGAAATGAAAAAGTACAATATTTTGGCTGTTGTGTCTTAGTCATGTGGGAAAAATATGTCCCCTTGTGTAATGGTAGAAGATGCTATATTGACTCAACATAACCAGTGTTTGATGACAGGAACTCTCAGGCAAGGCAGGCATTGATCATGCCAGTAGCCTCTGACTCAGTGGGTCTCTAACCCTGCTCCTGTGACTGCTCCTTTCATATCAGCCGAGTTCTTTAATCTCCTGTGTAATCGATGTCTTGATTCAAACGGATTGCTTATATGGCTGTTTTGGCACTCAGTGCTTTGTTTTTAGCTATACCAAGTACTTATTTTGCCGACAAATTCGGATCTTTAAGCAGTCTTTCCTCAACTGGCTCTTATGAGTTTGTTTCCTAAATTCTGACTGCGCAGCTCTTAATAGGAAATCCGTTTGAGACAAAGAAAGGCAGGTGGGGAAGATAATACATCAAACACTCCCACAGTGACTTTTTATTTCCTTTTCTCCTGAGGTCTAGTTGGGACCGTGTCCGGTATCACACCGCAACTGCATGAAGTTCAGCGATTTCTGAACTTCAGATATTGGTCCAGAGTTGATAGCAATTCTAAACCCCAGTCATTGTTTTGGCAATGAAAGCAATTTTAAACTGACATCAGTTAGTGTGTATTTAAAATCCCAGCTAGAACATAAACCAGACATGACAGCAGTCCCCCAGGAGCAGGTCTGGGAATCACTACTCTTGCTATCTGTATAAACACCTATGATGTTGACAGTGTTGTTCATTGTGAATCATTCTCCTTGCTAACTGAGTCTCTTCACTGGCCAGAACTCGAGCTCTTGCTCCAGCTTCCAAGACCAAAAGATTGCCAGCATGTTTGACCTTTCTCAAGACTATAAACAGCAGCACTACTTGACGGGACTGCTCCTCACTGAGCTCAGCGCAGCAGTGGACATGGAGACCGAGGCGTGAGTGAAACTCATTTCTGCCCAAGCACGGTACTGATGGTGGTCCTGCCGGGACTAGACACTACTGACTAACATTTCTGATGAGCACATGAAAACATTCTAGGCAATGTCTCTGCTTCTTCTCTGAAAGCCAACATCTCTGTGCAGGACAGCTTGTTTTTGATGAGAACATGTTCTGTGGAAGAACAAGAAAAGTAATGGTAAAGAAAGAGCATGTTGCAAAAAAAAGAATGAAACCACACTGCTATCTCTTATAGCACACAGGACACACTCTGCACGGATGCACAAAGTAGGAAGATAACCAAAGTGCAAAGCTCACCACAGCAAATATACTGATGCACAAATGAAATGCAATACTCATGACTAATAGATTTATTTGAAACATACATATTAAAATCACAGAATATACCAGTCAATTAATCATGATAAATGCCCAGCATGAAAGGAGACAAGCTCTGAAAGTGAAAATGTTTCAGGATTAGTTATGGCCATGAGCTTCCTGAACATTAATCCTGGTAGCGTTAATGCACAGCCCTAATCAGCCTTAGGTTACATTGCTGTGTACATTACAGCACTCCTGTGCAGCTGCATCAGCTAGCAGTTGTCTCCTCTTGATGGGATTGGCAAATTGATCCCTCAGACATTCTATTGTCCTCAGGTTGACCATGGCATGGCCTTTCATGAAAGTCATGCCATTGTAATCCTAGCAGTGTTTCGCATTGTCGTGCTGGAAAATGAACACGTAAGGCTTGGCTTGCAGGAATGAAAAATCTGTTTGCCCAAGGATTTAGTCAGGGTATTGGTGAGCGATTAGTGTTGCTCTTAATCTGCACCCAGAGGGGTTTTTATGATTGAAGGAAATTTCTGTAGACATCATCACACTTCCACCTCATCACTGATTGAATTGAACAATGCAACACTTAGCATAAGTCACATCTCAAGGTCTCTACATGTTATTTATCATCAGGTCTATCATTGACAACACATGACAATATATTCCATGTCCCTTATTTTTCCAAATGCAACATGAATTAATATACATACATTAGTATATGATTACCAGCAGATCAGTATCAAGCTCTGTGTTGGATTGTTGCCCCCCTAAATTTGCTTATTATTTCCATGAGTTTACAGAGAAATTCGTTATGAATAGGAGGCCTGTCTTTGTCTGCACACAGTATTTCAAATACACATTACAAGTATTTTATTTGACGTTTGTTCCGATCAAAAATATTCCTTGTATATGAAATTGTAGGGTATGACATCCTCCTGTTCTCCCTGAGCTTATACACTCATTCTCAGCTGCTTTTCGTGCTTTTCACCACTGCTCCCCACCCATTCCTGCCTACTCTGTCTTTCATTCTCCTGCGGCTCCTTTATCCACTACTTTCTCTCTCTCCCTCACACCTGAAGGAGGCTCCCCAGCCGAAACGCTGTGTCTCTTTTCTTCGCCTTTCAGCGTGGAATAAGCCTTTACCTGTGCCCATAAAGACGCTCGGCTGATTCTGCGCACCCATACGGTTTTGTCTCCTTGCTCTCCTAGAATGGGCAAAGTTCAGCGGAAGGCGATCAATGCCACCCACAGCCTGCTGTGCTCACACGACCTGGACCCCCGGTGCAGCCGCCCTGAAGTGAGGTCCAAAATAGCGGCTCTTTACCTGCCTCTCGTCAGCATCGTCCTCGAGTCCCTCAACCATTTAGACTTCACAGGTCAGTCCAGGGCGGGATTTACTCCTCTGGGGATCACTGAGTGGGCGTTGAGAGAGATCTCTACCTGAAATGAACAACCAGCAGCAGAGCCCAATGATATGAAAACAGAAACTGGATTTCGCTTGCTCCGTTGTGTGGCTTATTAATTTTGTGTAACGGCTTCTGATCTTTGAAGTCCTTGCCTGCCTATTTCCCTGGCGACTGCTAGTAGTTGGTTTAAAGGCAGAATTTCCAGCCAAGAGGCACTGTTGCAGGACTGGGCTGAACAATACCATACTCCTTCTCTGGCTTCCAGTCTCTTTATCTGATCCTGGAATTTTTGTTGAAGTTGTTCTGGCATTGCCCTGTACGTTTGAGCTGGAGTAAAAATATACAGTGAATGCAATGTTGGGAAATGTAATTTTCTTATGTTTCTTTTACAATCTTCTCATTTGGGAAAAAATGTTCCTGCTTTCTGGATCAATGTTCTTGCAGTTGCTGAGTCTCGGGGAGGGAAAGGAAAGTCAGGAACCCCAGAAGAGGAGAATGAAGCTGTGACCCCCATCAGTCAATCTGTTGCTATGGCAATAGCAGGGAATCCTTTCAGTACTCTTGCAAGAAGCACCATTTCATCTGTGGTATGAGCAAAAATTTCACCTAATAAACATTAATGAAAATGTCTGCATAGTACTGAATTTCTTTGTATATACAGTAACAACTTTTTATTTAAATTATTTCTATGTAGTAAAACTAATTGAATGCAATTGGACAGTCCTTTCATTTTATTTATATGCTTTATTGATGTTTACAGCCTGGTACGTTTTAATTCTGCTTTGAAGGGATTGCGTTTGTTGCAAATATTGGTTAATCTTCAGACAAGGTGGAAATATCTTCAGTAAGCTCTGTGAAGAGAGCCTCTAGTTCACAATTACAGCAGGATAGAATTTGAAAATGAAGCAACTTGTCAGATAGTCAGATAATTAGGCACAGGTAAACAGCCATACAGATCAATAGAGTGAAAGCATGGAATATCTGTGGTTTGTCACTAGGAATGTTTCTCTTTTTCCAGTCTGGCAAACCATGTGGCACATTGACAGTTGAAACCAGTCGAAATCTGCTCATCTGTTTCTTGTGGATCATGAAAAATGCTGATCAAAACCTCATTCAGAAATGGGCTATGGACCTGCCCTCTTCCCAACTGAACCGGCTTTTGGAACTACTCTATATATGCGTTTCCTGCTTTGAGTACAGGGTAAAGATTTTTCCTTTATAAGCAAATGGTTCTATTGCAAATGTGAAAATTATTTATACACCTCTAAGAGATGGATTAAATAACTAAAACCTGTAAATATTAATTTGAACAGACAATTCAGTTAGGTCACAAAATTCTCAAGAGCTATGATTCTCAAATTGCAGGCATTCAAGGTAGGGCACATACTTTAATGAAGAACTGTTTAATGGAAAGTACAGTTAAATGTAATTAATGGAGTACCACAGGGATCTGTAAGAGGAACGCTGTTCTTCCTAATTGATATAAATTATCCATGTTCTGGTACAGTATAGCTAACTGTCAAAACATATTAACTGCAAAACAAATTAAAAGAGAATTAGACTAAATTCAGGACTGATCAAATAACTGTCAGATAACATTTAAGTTCAGGAGTGGTCATGAATGAGCATATTAATGAGACATTCCTGGGCTCAAAGGAATGTCATAAGCTGCCAGGCTTGAACAGAGAAGACTACAGAATTGGACAAAAGTGGAAGTTATATGGGAGTGCTGAGAATAGGAACTACTGTTTCACACGAGTGTTTTGGGAGTGTTTTGAAACAAATTGGCCCAGCCATGTTGTTGAAGAGGCTTCCTTCAAGAAATGGCCAGATGATATCCTTGGACCAGTTAGTTGCCAAAAAACCCAACCCAAATGAGCTAGCTGTATCGAATGTCCTCCTCTTGTTTGTAATCGTTCTCACGTTTTAGGCAATACAGATAATAGATACTTTGCCCCCCTCATTCGATTGAGTGTTCTTAACACTGCCATTGCGTAAATAAAACGATCATGGCTCTCAGCCCTGCAAAGATAAAGACCAAGACTGACTTTTCTTCTCAGGCTCGAAGACTATGCATGTGAAGAACTCTTGCCATAAAGTCTGTCTTTTGCAACATGCATTAATGCAGTGTGTTTCGGTGTGTTTTGTCCAGGGGAAGCAGAGCTCCGACAAAGTGAGCACCCAGGCACTGCAGAAATCCCAGCAAGCCAAGGCCCGGCTGGAGGAGGCTCTGCTGGGAGGCATGGGGGCCCGAGGAGAGATGATGAAACGTAGTCGCGGGGTCCTAGGTAAGGCCAGCTGCACACCTAGCTAAGAGATTCCACTCCTGCCTCCTTTGATAGGAATAGAGATCTTGGCTTTTATTGTCCGTGAAAAGCACGAGGGAAAAAGAAACTTCAAAGAAATTCCTTTTGAAGTTTTCCAAACCATTTGGGGGCAACGGAAGGCATTATTTCACCGTCGGCACAGAGACCAGGATCAGACAGCAATTTTTTCAGAGAGTAAAGCGAGAATTTAGGGTGAACGCACCCTAAATGCGCTCACTTGCTTGCAATTCTCAGAAAACCGTTTCTGAAAACTAATCGGCTCAAATTAAACACATTTACACCTCTAGGTAAGAATTTACCGAGCTGTAAGTCCCAACACACCTCTACATCTGTTCCTCTTCATTTCGTGTTCCTTTACCACAGTAATATTAGAACAGTATTATAAATATCTGTATTTTCACACAGGCAATGACAGGACGCTGGGACAAAACGAGAACTTGAGGTGGAGGAAAGATCTGACCCAGTGGCGGCAGACCAATGAGAGACAGGACAAGTATGTGTTCATTACTGATCCCTCTGCAGCTCCACTTGGGTTATGTTAGTGTAATTATGATTTCACCAAAACTTCCAAGTTTTTTATTTTCTCATTATTGTCACAATATAATAAGTACATACAGTAATGTGTTTTACTGTATATGATATTATTATACATGTACATACAATATATGTACAGTATATGTAAAACAGGGGGTTATGAAGTTTGAAATTAACATCTCCTAAGGACAAGTGCATTTAAGGCTTACAAAATGTGGCATACCTTTACGCAGAAGGTTGTTTGAGCGAGGAACAAGCTAACCATCCGTGTGATTGGAACTGATACCCTGGCTTCCTACAAGAAACAGCGGAAGAGATCCTTGGATCAATTTGATATCAGTAACCAAATGAGCTAGAAGGGCCAAATTACTGTCCTTTGCATACAAAATAATAAGCTTTCTATACATATATATTAAACAACAGTTTCTTGTTTTTACCTTGCTCCCCGTAATAATTATTTTTTAAAAAGAACATTTCAGTAATTAAGGATTTGGGTAAATTGTTGGATGTATTGGTACTAAGTTTAGAAATCTGCATTCTGTTGTTCAGTATTTAGTTTTTTTATCTGTTCTTCTCATCGGACATGTGTCAAAATAGTACTATATATTACACTCAAATAGAAAATCTGTTCATATAAGTGTATATAGCCAATTATAAATGAGTGTTTAAAAATGGGGAGGTAACCTCTTCTCATTTTATTCAGAACTAAGGCAGAGCTTGACCAAGAGGCCATTATCAGTGGTAACCTGGCCACAGAGACTAACCTAGTCATTCTTGACTTGCTAGAAACCCTCATCCAGGTAAGTGCACTAGTCTTTAAGACAAAACTGTTCCTGCTGCTCTGTGAATCATCCTGTTGTTCGCCATTCAGTGTTTTTCTCTGTATGTTTAACTCTATTGGTCCAGTTCAAACTTACTTACCCAAGTACTGTAAATATGTACATATCAGCGCAGTTCATACCTAATGCAAGTTGTTTTATATAATTAAAAATACTTTTTAAAGAAATCAGTGTAATGTTAATAACTTTATTTGTTAAAAAATTAGAAATGTAGGTTTTCCAAGCCAAGTGATCCTTCCCCTGTGGGAGTTTGTGCCATCTTTGCTTGGAGTGGGCCTACGTTTGTGTTTCCACAGGGAATCTCTCTGTCTGATGTCAAAGACAGTGTGCTTGGAGGGGTCCTGAGAGTCCTGCTCCACTCCCTCAGCTGTAACCAGAGCACATCCTACCTGGCACACTGCTTCAGCACACTTAGAGCCCTCATTGTGAAGGTACTGCGTCGTAGGCTCCGGCTCCCAGATACAGCTCTGTGGCCTGCTTCCACCCGAAACGACCTGAGAAATATAGCAGAATCACTTTTACTGGGAGCATATCCCCAGTAGTCATGAATACACAGTGTCTGTCAATCCTAAATGAGCATAGCACTGCAACTCGTGTCTCAGAATCAGAAATGCTGCAGTCTTACTTCTGATATTTTCTGTAGTTTTTAATGGTTTTGCTTACTTATTTTCTACATTTGTGTTTTCGCGCTACAGAAGTGCATTGCTTTGCTGCCATCAAGGAAAAGAAAATATTAACGAGTTATCTCGTAATTGCGAGAAAATTATCTTGTTATTACGAGAATGCAAATGATCTTTTAGTTATGCGATTATGTCGTAATTACAAGATCGTATATTGTCATGTACTTTATGTGATCATGACTCTATAGCACAATTGTCCTACAATACCTAGATTACCATTAGTTGACTTTCAGTTTAAGCGGTGGAAGAGATTGCACAGCACCCTTGTTCTTGTTTAAGGATATGGGTGAGTGTCCTCATGGTTAAAATTGTGTTACGAATAGACACCACTGAAAAGTAAGTCCATACACATTCTGCAGCTTGGTGGACATGGTCAATTTCTGTCAAGTGTCTCGTATTTACTAGACAACTCATGATTTTTTTTTTCCTTGATGGTGGCAATAACATTCTTTACCTTACAATCTAATATATAAATTCAAAACAAATGCTGAAAAATGGGCCGTAACTTTAGGAAGTCTTTTACTGAGCACAATTGTGAGTGCTTTTCTTCATCCCGAAACTTGAAAGTTGTCTTCTTCATCCATGTCCTGTGGCGTGTTTAATCGGTAGTAGTAATAATAATGACCAGATAAGTAAGTCATGAACAGCCTCTCTTTTAGACTGATGAACTGGCCCACAGGCCGGTGTCTGACCTCTTCAGTGCATCTTTCAGTGGTTTGAAGGTATCATTAAGTTCCCCCTCCAGCCATTCCGATGGCTCGCAGTGTCTTGTATCCTCCGGGCGCTGGCCTAAGGCCTGTGGGTTTGTACTGTGCACTGCAGTTTGGAGACCTGCTCTTCGAGGAAGAGGCAGAGCAGTGCGCCGACCTGTGCCAGAAAGTCCTTCAGCACTGCAGCAGCTGCATCGATGGCAACCGCAGCCAGGCCTGCGCCACCCTCTACCTCATCATGAGATACAGCTACAGCTCGGCCAGCGTAAGGCAAACTCCTTCCACCCCACCCCTTTCGCTTTTACCCAATCTGCTTTGCTGAATTTCACACTGCAGGAAAAATGGGAGCTTTTCGCCGCAGTATTAACAGAAACACCTTGTTTTCATGTGTGCATGGTATCTTGTAATCGCAGATCGTACTGTGAAGTATTGACAAGCGTAATTTCTCATGTATAACCAGGATCAAAACACATTTTTGTGTTTTTTTTGCATAGAAAACATGGGTATCAAATGTAAGGTAATCTTGTCATTCCTGGTCTACCTTTGTGCTGAAGATAAAAAAGCACACAATATATAACATCAGCTGTATTGCTTTAATCCTACAGGTGGTAGCTTTTTTAAGCTGGATTGATGCACCCCTGATGATATACAGTGTTATAAAGCTATAGTATTAATGATTTTAGAATGAGGCTTTCATGTAAATGATCGATATATTACATACAAAACACTTATTATCAATTAAGACCATGTTAGTAAGGAATACTTTTGCTTTTTTGCTGGTGATAAACAAGATGGATTACTTTAGTTTTGTCGACGTGTTTCGATTCCCCAGAATCAATAGAACCATAAAAAAGAACCATCACAGCAGAGAGCCAATAGCACAGTACTGTTGTATTGACTGATGTCTGCCATGATATATTTTTGTAAACCTTGTAAAATATTATTAATCTCAGAAAAGCTATGAATGCATTTGCCCATTAAAAATGGTATTACCGGTAAATAGGACAATATTATTATCAAATAAAAAATTACTGAGGTGCACCATTGATTTTTAAATCTGTAATCTCCTGTGATGTTACCTGGTGAGAGTTATTTTTAGGTTCTATAATTATGTGTATGAACAGATTTGAAAAATCCAATACACTGAAAGTAAAGCCGAGTGTGTGGCAAGTCTGGTTTCAGCACTGACATCACTAATAAGGCTCCTTACTTGGGTGTTCAGGAGAAAGCTACTGAAACTGTAGAACATGAAGATGATGCTGGTCAACTTGACAAAAGGCAGAAACTTTAGTACAGATTTCATGGTGTACCTAGCAAAGTTAGGCTAGGTACATAAGTGAATTGACTAACGGTAGACAATCTTCAGTCACCATACAGTATGCATTTTGTATTGTGTAATAAATAGAAAAAATAATCTTTCTGCCAACTGTGCATGCATTGCACAAATATTTTGTGTTGTTTTGATTAAAGGGACACTAAAATGATTGAAGTAACAAAATGCAGCCCATTGAATGTCACATGATATTGAAGTACAGGACCCGGAGTCTACAGTTTCTCAGCAAGCAATGGATTCAGGGCAGGGTACACCCTGGACGAGACGCCAGTCCACCGCAGGGCAGACACACAGGCACAAACACAGACACGCACACACTCGCACCAGAGACAATGTTGCCAGAAGCCAATTAAGCTGCCAATATGGTTTTCGACTGTGAGAGGAAACTGGAGCACCTGGAACAAACAGGGAGAACACACACACAGATCCAAAGGTGAACCCTAGTGCTGTGAGGCATTAAGCACTTGAGTTTTAATTTTTTTAGAATCACATTGTTCTGCTACTATTTTGATTTCCTTGTCATCCTTTTAAACGTTGCTTCAGGGAAACACTGATATATTTGGAATCTTTGGGATCATACTGTACCTGATTAGCATTTTAAGAGGGTTCCTGTAGTGGAGGCAAATCTTTTTTTTAAAAACAAATGGTCTGAAGTCCCAAAGAGGCTTTCCTGCATATTGATAGTTTGTTTGTATTTTTAGAATTTCTCCCGTGTGAAGATGCAGGTCACCATGTCTCTGGCCTCGCTAGTGGGTAAATCTTCAGATTTCCATGAAGAGTACCTGAGAAGATCTTTACGAACTATCTTGGCATACGCTGAGGAGGACACAGAGATGCAGTCAACACAATTACCTTGCCAGGTACATCCTTTTTTTCCTAGCATCCAAAATAAAAACCTTCCAACTAAAACTTTATGCTATAAAAAACTTCACTTTGATGGCTGTTATAGTATTGTGTTAATGGGAAAAGCATTTTGACAACGGTGAATGAGAAAAAAAAGAAAACCAGAAATCATAACGTAAGACAGCAAAAATAACATTGTGGTGGTTTGACTGTGATACAGTCTGATAATGTCACAATAGTTTAAGCAGAGCTATATGTAGTATGGGAAGGGGTTTTCTGCTGTACTTTGCAAAGAGCACACATTGTAACCTAATTTAAAAGTTGAAAATACTTCAGTATTTCTTACTGTAGCTCTTCTTTGTTCCTTGATAATGATGAGGCAAATTCAATTCAATATATTAAAAGTCCAGATATACTAATCACATAATAAGTGATACAAACGTACTGTATATACAAATTTCTGTCCAGTGCTGGAAAGAGTCTCTCAAAGCACCACGTTGTGTAATAATACTGAATATTCATACACCACTACGTGACATTACTGAACTGAGAATATTGGTAAAATGGCTAGCATGGTTTCGTTTTTCATCAGGAAACTCTACTTTGGTACTTTGGATGATGGTTTAAGGCAAGACTTGGTTTTCAACTATTCAGAGAGACAAAAGCAGAATTGAACAAAGTGTAAAAATGAGCCTTGAAATGAATTTCGTATCCAGGTTGATGAGTTGCTACGAAACCTGAACAGCATCCTGTCTGACACGGTGAAAATGAGAGAGTTCCAGGAAGACCCAGAGATGCTGATGGATCTCATGTACAGGTAACATCTCTGTTCCCTATTTAGTTATACTGTGCCTATACAGTAGGTCTCAAAAAAGGTAAGGTAGGTCTTACTAGCTTAGGAACAAGTAAAGATTTACTCCATGCTTACCCTGCACCTGAAGAAAGCTCCACACCCTAAATATTGTTTCTTTTCTTTTCCTTTCAGCATAAAATAAACCTTTACTTGTTCCTTTGCAGCTTGCGCATGCTGATGCAGCTACCTACTTGACCTTCTTACCAGCTTAGTCATTTTAAAGCAAGAAAAAATGTTCCAAAGAATATGTATAGATTAAATGTTCGACTTGCTTACTGCTGTGTAGTGCAATTAATGTCTCTGAGAAAAGAGGCAAAGTCCCCTTGTTCACACAGTGTGTCAGACCCTGAAATACAAGGCGAGGGTACTTCACCTGAAGTTTAATGTAGTGACATATCCAGACTCTCATTCTCAAATCCCAGATTTTAAAGTTTACTGTATTTGGAATTTTAAGATAGTACTGGTTATATCAACTTTGAAAATGGAATTACAGCTTGACCTCTCCAGTATCTTTTTGCTCTGGTCTTGAATAAAATATGTACAGTAGTAGTCTCTTCCAACCTAAATCCTACAGCTCGTTAAATATTTTCTTTTACATGCAAGGTCTTTTCAGAACATCAAGTCAGGCGTTCTATCACATCCAGACACTAGGTGAAAATATGAATCATGACACCTCTGACTGATGATTCAGAGGGGGAACTCGTTCCTCCTGGTACTCACCGCTTTTTTGTTCTGTCTGCCATCAGAATAGCAAAGGGCTACCAGACATCCCCTGACCTGCGTCTGACCTGGTTGCAGAACATGGCGGAGAAGCACTGCAAGAGAAAGTGCTCCACAGAGGCTGCCATGTGCCTGGTGCACGCTGCTGCCCTGGTGGCTGAATATCTGAGTATGCTGGAGGACCACAAATACCTGCCTGTGGGCAGCGTCAGCTTTCAGGTATCCAAGATCTGCAAGACTGTTCCCCTCCGTTCACACCTGAGTCATTGAACTACGCTCCAGCCTGCTTCTGTTTTATGTATCTAATTTATGAGTTTCATCCCCAACGATGACTGTATTAATTTTAAAAATGTAATCGCCTCATACTGAGTAAATTTGTACCATTTACCAGGTGGTGGAGTTGTTCTGAATCAAAAAAAAAAGCTGTGCAGGGTTTTAAGACCTGCCAGATAATGTTCATCAGAATGTAATCCTGAATGTGTGCCTCGCATTCTTTAGATCAAACATTAATCGATTAATAAAAACTGAACAATCTGACAGTCTTTCATTGTGTTTACATTGCAGAATATCTCTTCCAACGTCCTAGAGGAATCAGCGGTGTCGGATGACATCCTGTCTCCGGATGAGGATGGGATTTGCACTGGCCGGTACTTCACTGAGAACGGCCTGGTGGGCCTTCTGGAGCAGGCCGCTGAGCTGTTCAGCACTGTGAGTGAGGGCTGGCTGGCACTGGCGTTTAGACCCAGAAGGCTGAGCGGGTTAGGGCTGGCCGTTAGTGCTAATGAGAAGCTGCACTTGTGTTAAAATAATAGTGTTGTCTGCCAAGGTGAGATGATACCCTAAGACTGGGGTATCATCCAGTCCAGCTGGTTTTCATTTGGATTATTCCTTAACTCATCCATTTCTCTTCACTTGGAACAGTTGTTTTGACCACTTAAGCAGGTGATTTGCTCTGGAGTTTGGATATCCCTTGAAAATACCAACAGCCTTCAGTTCTCGGGGACCATAGGAGGCCATTCCTTGTTTAATTTGATCAGTTAACTTACTAAATGTATCAAAGCTAATGTGTTCTAGGTCTTTACAAAGTGGCGATTTAAGACCTGCTGGATTGTAGCTCCCTGAGATGTGGTTACCAATGACCTATGATCATAATAAAATATGTACTGTAGCACAATCCACAAATCATGGGATGTTGCAGTTATGGAAGAATGACATTGATTTGATGGACCTGGCTGAATGAAATTTGTATTTGTGTCATTAAGGGGTGCTAGCACTAAATGAAGATCGATGCTTTCCCAGATCATAAGCAGTAGGCATAAGCAATGCTTTACCAGATCACAATTTTAATTATTTTAAAGGCACCTTCCTCTCTTTCTGTTATAGGGTGGATTGTATGAAACCGTAAATGAAGTTTACAAAATCGTCATTCCTATTCTGGAGGCTCACAGGGACTTCAGGAAACTGTCTTCCACTCACGACAAGCTGCAGAAAGCCTTTGAGAATATCATCCAGAAGGTACCCATTTCTCATCTTACAGTGTTTTGTATCTCTCCATAAGGCAAATCATATTTCGTTAAATATATTTCCATTGATATATTAACATTAGAACATTCACTGATCTGTACTGGGGGTCATACTGTATGTGTTGACACACTTGGTTTACAAATGGCTTTAACTTATGGAGAAAAATACTGTACGTCCTGAATGTAATGGCTTCTGGGAGGGCTCATTAAAAAGGGGCAATGGGAGTAAAAACTGCTTAAATAAATAACCACCATGAGTTAATTACAAAGAAAAAAAACTGCTTTCAAAAGGAAATATAAAAAAGCATTGAAAAATATCCAAGTATGTACTAGTTTTGAGTGAAAGTTACACCATTTCCATATACAGCATGTTAAGACAAAATTCCGGGCTGGCTTTCAGGAATTTGACGGAAAAAAGGACCAGATTAGCTTCAGACGTTTTTTAAGGGGGAAAAGCCAACTGCTCTATGCCATATGAACAAAACTAAACTGCATTTTCTTAATCTGGGGCCAATAATAAACAAAATGTGCCTGTTCTTTGTTGTTCAAGTTCTTAAACCTTGTTTTAAAAGGGTCACAAAAGAATGTTTGGGACATATTTCCGCGTGGGTTTCTATGGAATGAAGTTTGGAGACTTGGATGAGCGTGAATTTATTTACAAGGAACCTGATATCACCAAGCTTCCAGAAATATCCCACAGATTAGAGGTAAACAGAAATCAAAATCATTTGAATGTGCTTAATTCAATTAGCTTATGCTGAAATGCCAGCCATTTGAAAGAGAAGAAGGAAAACTACCACTTTGTATTTTTAGCATAAAACAGTCAATTGGTGCAACTGTCTTATGGTGTAGTTTAAAATATTTTGCCTTTTTTTCCAATTTGTCACATTGTTTCAGAACTTTTACAGTCAGTGCTTTGGACAGGACGCTATGGAGGTAATAAAAGATTCAGCCCCAGTTGACAAAGCCAAGCTAAATCCTAAAAAGGTGCGTCTCCATTTACTTTTAAGGAGTCTGTGATGTAGAAAGTTGATCCTGCTTTTATTATTGTTGTCTGAAGTAATGAGATTTAGGTTTGTTTGAGGCCTCAGTTTACTGTTATTCTATCAGCAGCCACCCTGACTGTACATCTGGAACGCAAAATGTAAAATAAAACATTTGAGCATGATATCAATATGTATTAAGTTTAAGACTAATGTGATTATTAAAATTAACATCATTACTGCTTGACATCCACCTGTTAATACACACTATCCTGTTTAAAAAAACTCTTAAGTTGCTTTTAAATAAGGAAACAAATTGATCCAAGTAAAGGTTTTTTTCTTCTGTTAATCATAGTCTTGGAAACCATTTGGCACGCAAGACCTGAAAATTTCATTTCTGTTCTCAGTGGTCAGAGAAGTAAGAACTTAGTTGTTGCCAAAAAGAGATGTGATGTAATAAGAATTTTCACCAGTTTTCAATCAGTGTTGCTTTAACGTTCATCTTGTTAAACAATATAACTTAAAACATTCTCATTTTATTTTATTTTTTCGTGTTACTTAAGTTGTTGCTGTGACTTATTTGAAAAAGGTCTGCATTTTCTCTGTTCTTGTAGGCTTACATTCAGATCACCTTTGTGGAGCCATACTTTGATGAGTATGAAATGAAAGACAGGTTGACCAATTTTGAAAAGAACTTCAATTTGAGACGCTTCATGTACACCACCCCCTTCACAAAGAGTGGCCGCCCCAGAGGAGAGCTCAATGAGCAGTACAAGAGAAAGACTATCCTGACCACTATGCATGCCTTCCCTTATGTCAAGACCAGGATTAATGTCATTCAGAAGGAAGAGGTACAGTATGGCTGCTATCTTGGTGTCATCGCACATAGACACTGAAAGTCTAACAGTCTAACAAAAATAGTCTAGCAGTGGCCTAGGGGACTATAGGCTAATCTTTGAAAAATGCTGATTGACATTTAAAGCACAATGCATGTTAAATTCACATGCATAGAGACTGGTGTTAGCAATTTTACAGTGTCTTTCATAGTAAGTATCCCGGTTAAAGTCCTGACTTGAATCCAAGAGAAAAACTGGCAAGACTTGAAAATTACTGTCCATCAACCAACCCCAATGAAAATGACAGATCTTAAGAAAATTTGCACAGAAGAAGGGAGGAGAATTCTAATGTTCTGGTGTGCAAAGGTGGTAGAAACCTGCAGGAGAATACTTGCAGCTGTAAGTACTTCTTAAGGGTGCTTCCACCAGGTGGTGGGTCAGGGGGCGAATACATATCGAATCAGAATTGTAATTTTTGATTTTCTTGCAGTTTTTGCTGACATTTATTTACCCATCATATCATTCAGTTTAACCATTCAAGTTTCGATCAATAAAAAGCTAAAGCTTCCATCAGTAACATCTGTCATACAATGGTCTAACCATATATTCCTTTGGCTCCAGTTTGATCTCACACCCATTGAAGTGGCCATTGAGGACATGCAGAAGAAAACCCTGGAGCTGGCCGTCGCCACTCACCGAGAGCAACCAGATGCCAAGATGCTTCAAATGGTTTTGCAAGGGTCTGTGGGGGCAACAGTCAATCAGGTGTGTTCCTAGGAGCAGTATTATCTGCTGCACAGTGTGGTAGCAGGTATATTTTAACATGCAGAATTCCGGCAACAGCAGCAAAGAGAGACGTAAGGCAAAAAAAGGTAATTTACAGTACAATTAAACCCCCCCAAAACACAAAACCCTAGCTTCTCTTTCAGCTCTATGTAAATGTTTTCCTTTAAACTCTTAATCTGTCTATAATGCAAGCAGGCAGCTTATCGACATCAATCCAAACCGTCTGTCAAAACTCAAACTCAAACTCTTATCCTATATTCAAACTCCAATGTCCATGAGTCAGTCAGCATTTTCCTTCATGCTTCCTCTGGTGCTGATCCTCTAGCATAGACAGAAGATATTGACAGCCCCTGGAAGCCTCTACTTCATGGTTTTGAACTGCCAACCAACAGATTTCTTGCAACTCTAAAAACTTTGTTGTCGTCTGTTTATTTTTGGTGGCTTGGGTTGAGAAGTAGCAGTAGAAGTTATGTATTTTAGAACTATGATAATGTGAGGGACAAAAATAATGTGGACTGTTGGAAACATCTATAAGAGGAACAAAAATTTTAATAGACTATAAATTAGACTAGACTACAAATTTTGACAATCATTCTTTTCATATATACAAAAATATAACTCTTTTGTTAACATTTTAGATATAAGGTACAGCAATGTCAGTATTACAAAGAAAAATACATTATTTTATCCTTGAATACACATTGCAGATTTTATAGTAATTTGTGGTACAGAAAGTAGTCAAAAGGAAAAGTCTTGCTGTGCTCTTTGAACTTAACATTACAACAATATATGACTTTAGACTCAAAAATACATTTGCAAATTTAGGCCAGTTCTAGTTAATCTTTGTCGAACTTTTACATTGTGGCATAAACATAAAGTTTAACTGAATAATACAAAATAACTGTTCAATACCTTACCAAATGTTTTTGTAGACAGGACTAATAACAATAAATTACTTAAAATAATATAAATAACTCAGACATTGAGTAACTGTATTGTTAACTGCACTGTGATTGGCATTATTCTTTATTTTACTGTAAATTCTCTGATGTGAAATATATTTCTATTTTTGCAGATCATAAAGAAATGTTTATACAAACCTGTGATTCAGCTGGGTTTTTTTATCCGCTGTGCAATAGAATAAACATGTTTTTGCCTTTTTCAGGGTCCCCTAGAGGTAGCCCAGGTGTTCTTGAATGAAATCCCAGCAGACCCCAAGCTTTTCAGGCACCACAACAAACTGAGACTGTGCTTTAAAGAGTTCATTATGCGGTACGTTAGGAGGAAATATGGTCATATTTTGTTCCACATTCAAATTGTTTGAGGTGTTTTGTCTCATTTGACTGCTTTGATTGCCCAAGAGTATTACTGGCTTCTGCACTATTGTGTTTTTTTAATATAAATATAAATACACATAAGTATTAGCATCCCAGTATCATTCATTCATTTATTATGTGTAAGATATGCACTACTCTCTCCTGCAGTATTTACTTAACTAATCTCTTCCAGGTTAGCTAAATACTAGTGCTGAAAGTTTTTCCATAATGCATATAAATGTCAATTCACAACCACTGAAAAGAGTACAAAACTAAATTTGTTAGGTTAACATATTTTCTAGTAATGAATCATAATGTACTTAGCTCTCGTTTATTAATTGTAGTTTTCTATATCTTTGTAATTGAAAAGACTACATTGGCATTGCAAGAAAAAACTTAATTTATGGGTCATAGTTACAGTATGTGTGAAATATAATGATATCTGAACAGGAATTAAAATGATTCTATGTATTAACTAATGTCAACCGTCCCTTCCCTTACTGATACATTTCCTGCAGGTGTGGAGAGGCTGTGGAAAAGAACAGACATCTTATTACATCTGATCAGAAGGAATATCAACATGAACTCCGGAAGAACTACAATAAACTTAAAGAAAACCTGAGGCCAATGATTGAGAGAAAAATCCCAGAACTTTATAAACCTCTAATCAAGCCTCGAATAGAAAACAGGTAATCCACATACTGTAAATCCTTTTTTTTAACTGTACAACCTTGAAGCTTAAAATATTAATGAATACAATAAAAACTTTTGATTCGTACAAGCATTTGTGAAAACACAGATTATATCCTGTAAAAAGCATGTCTATTATACAAGTGCATTATGAAAACATTATCATTACAAAAGCTAACTGAGAAATTACTTCAAAATGTATATTGAAAGTAGCAATATGAAAGCTGACATCCACCTGTGATATGCTGTGCAGTGGAATTCCATTATGCTCATGGGAGAGTTAGAATACTGACCCATTCGCAGAAGCCTTGAGTTTGAGCTTCGGTCAAATGACCAGCCAAGGGAGCATGGCTCTTTGCTTTGAGCCAAGACTTAAAGACACATTTTAGCAAATAGAAACTGGGAAACTATTGAAAAATAATGGGCCACCATAAATAATTCCAAAGGTAGAAACTAATTGTGGATTCCGACTTCAATGATTATAAATAGATTATAATCACTGGTATTTAAAAAAGTACATTTCAAAACTAAGAGAATGTGATGGAGGATTTACAGCTCATGGCCCAGTGGTATAATCTGAAAGATGGATTTAAATTGGTTAAGAATTATTTTTTATTACAAATATGACAAATGTTGTAATATGTGGTAAGTTAGCAGGCAGCTTACAATACACATATTTAATAGGAAAAATAAAATAATGTGTGTATGAAATCACCAACAACTTTCAGTCTAATGCCTTGTTTTTGTTGTTTTGCTACGGTGTAGAGGAATTAAAAGGCCTGGAAAGGGTATATGTTTTATTAGCTTCAAATAGTTGTGAATCCTCCATCACATTCTCTTAGTTTTGAAAGTGTTCTTAGAAAGGTACAGTATACGGAGCCTCAAAAGAAACTTGTAATTTTATGAAGGCAGGTTTTTAGAAATAAAGTCTACAGATTTAAGATATTGATTAAATATTATTAGCATCATAGAATGATAAATGAATAATTCATGATCAATTAATTCATGATATACTGTCAGTAGTGGAGAGAAAAATGGGAACACCTGGGTAAATGCTGGATATTGAAAGCAAGTTCTTCCACACAGGTGTGACTCATGCGTTAATTAAGCAAATAGCATTCCAGCATGGCAAACTGACTGCTGGGCGCTACAGTACATTAATCAAATCATGGGCCCTTGCTCGCTGCTCCTCCTGTGGGTTCACGATGGGCAAGTATTTCAGCAGCACAACGTGCCGTCTCATGCTGCTTGTGTAATGATGACTTTCCTGAGAGATGGGAATGTGACAGTTAGGTCACAGTGGAGGACGCTGCTAGTGAACAGGCTCATGCTTGTCCAGGCTCTATGAAAAGAATAGGACAGATTCCCACAAGACAGCATTTACAACATGGCGCAAAGCACGAGTCATAGGTTTACAATTTGTATTGCTTCCAGCTGTGGTCACATGCTACTAGCTTGTAACTTTCACAGCAGACCTCCTGTGGATGACAAATGCTACTCGTCATAATGAGTTTACCTGTCGAAATGTCAAGTGCCAGTGCACCTGCTAGAAAAAGATGTGTTGCTTTCTTTGGGAGTGGTAATCAGAAGTAACACGTTTCTTTTGATTCTCATTATATACATTCTCTTGCTGTGCTGAAAATGTATCTATTCCCCCAACAGAGCTCTGTGATCTCAAGACCTGGCTTAGAAAAACAAATCAATGAATGGGTTTATTATGCAAAGATGATGATGTAACACTAAAAGTTACATTTCTCCCTTTGCGTAGAGTAAGTGGAGTAAGGAACTGCTACACTTGTGTAGCTGCAGTCAAAGTGCACTCCAGGTCTACCACAAATAGACTGCATATTTCAGCCATATGTGGAAGAAGGGAATGAACTGCCAGGCGCAGCCTATGGTGCCTGTTTTTAAGAAATGCTTGTTCTATAAGTACAGTACATTTGTCTACAAAAGTGACCTAGTGAATCTGCTGCATTCCTGATTTTCAACTGAACTAATTCTCACTGCTTTTTAAAAAGACAGACAGATCAGAGAATCTCATACTCAAGACAAATATAATACTGTATTTAAATTTCACCTTTCCTCTGTCTTTTGGTCTTTTTTATAAAGGGAATCTTTTAAAAGACACAGTTTTCGAAGAACCGCTGATGAAAATTCATGAGAGGATGAGCTGTTTCTCAAGTGTGCACCGAGAAGACCATTCTTAATTGAAAGACATGGTGGGACAGAAGAATAATTTGATCCCTTATTTGTTGAAAATTGCTGAGGAGAGACTGCACGCAAGGAGCGTTAGAAGTTGGACATTGGGATTAATTTTGATGAAACGTTAAGCCTATTACAAGCTTTTCCCATACACTTTAATTTAATAGAAAACCTAGTAGCTTAAATGAATTGCCTATGAATTGCACCAGAACAGTCTTGGTGTGAAGCAGCTTTTGATAAAGGTTAAGTGCGGTTTATACAATAGTTCCCTGGCCTTTAATTACCATGTTTCAAAACTCTATAGTGTTTTTCCTTTTAAAACCTGGTTTCACTTATAAGATTAAAGGGTTTATATGAAAAGTCTCTGCAGGTCAAGACTGAAAAGAGCACTGAGTAATAACAGCACTATATTACTGTATTTCCTTTCGTTGCATGTAAATATGCTCTCATTTTATCAAATGGAAATTATATAACATGACAGGTAGAAGAGGTTTAATGATATAAAATCTACATAATATGCAGCTTTAGAAATTCTCTCCAGTGTAATATACTAAAGGGTCCTAATTTTTAATGATAGAGAATTAGCAGAGGCTACCTCAACCTGGTGGCTGTTGTATATGAAAAATATAGTTTCCAATAAACAAGGTACTAAGGCCATTTATTTTACATATGGTTAGCTGTACAAATTTGTAACTGAAAAGTATTTATTTTGAAAGAAGCATGCATGTATTGACTATTCAGATAAAATGCACGGACAAAAAAGAAAAATGGCACAGCCAGACTTATCCGGAAGTAACCATGGACTTCTCCTTGCTCAGAAATTTTCCAGACGTACAGTACGTAAAATCAAGGTGCCTACATATTACAGGTTTTCAAAATGGGAGAATGAGCTCTTTCTAAAACAAGGAGAGTAAATAATATCCAATCTACCATAAATGGTCAAAGACAGAAAATATGAAAAAGTTGTATATTAATGATATCTGTTTGAGATCCTTTGATCAGTTAAATAATAGTAACCACAAGGGTCTAAAGGGACGAAATAATTAATCTCACTTCTAACCTGTCAAATGTAAGTCTGGACAAAACAGGCTTTCAAGATTGTGTTCAGTTTTAGCTGAATGTTGTTCATATGAATATGTTTATATGGATCATTAGTCAGGCTTTATGAAAGGAGTAAAACAGCTGGCCAGTTGTCAAAAGCGGGGATACCAGTTGATAAAGGTGTGCTGGAGGTTCTCAAGCATATTTGGAGCATGCATTCCATTTCTGGAATGGCTTATAAGTTTTCAGAATCAATGTGTTATTCACATGTTAAGATAAATGGAAGTGGTATTTGTTGTTCAGTTTACAGCAGAATACATTCTTCAAATACAACACCCTATTGGGGAAAATTAGTTACATGATTTAGAATCAAGTCATTTAGTTTTCTATTTATTTTGACTCAAAAACTCAACAAGGATATTTCATGTTGTCAAATAATCTGTTACATTACACAACATGCTGCTTTTTGTAATTCCATATCTGAGGTTTTTTGTAAGTACCTGTAAGCACTGGAATCTGTTTTATTGAGTTTTTTGTTGTTGTTTTTTTACATGGGACCTATTGAGTGTTGTGTTGAGAAGTAACTTCAAAAACATAAATACATTTCACAACTGTAAGAGTTTAATACACTTAATAAATATTGGTACAAAAATGGAGCCTGTCTTTATTTTTAATGTAACATTGTCTCATCATAAATTCCTGTTAGAATACAGCACTATTACACAATTTACAGTACAAATGTTGGGTAACATGACTTGTGTTGATCTATATACATGTTATTGCTGTTGTTACTTTCTGGACAGGGCAGTGTGTAAATAAACTCCTGTGTTAACCTAATCAAGAACTTTTTCATCTCTTTAGTTCCAGTTTTGGCATATGAGGTCAATAGAAAAACTATTTTGTTTTTTGCTTACAATACTTCATACTCTCACACAGGACAGGAGGAGGCACAAAAGCAATTATGATATTTAGCAACATGGATGATGTTTCTTCCAATTCTACCTACATACAATATAATTTACTGCTGCTTAGATTACCTGAATATTATATGAATATTGCAACGTGTTAAATTCTTGGAATAGTACACCAGCTTGATTTACACATATTGTAGCATTCACAGTATTAAACATATTGAACACATATTGTCCAACAATATGTCCTTGTGCTGGACAGTCCCACTTCCTTCTCCACCTTGACCTTTTCTGCATCTAATAATAATAATTCCTTACACTTTCCTGGACGCTCCACTCAAAGCACTTTACAGGTAATGGGGACTCCTCTCCACCACCACCAATGTGCAGCCCCACCTGGATGGAGGAGATGGAGGAGATCAGAGTGATGAAACCAATTCATAGATGGGGATTATTAGGAGGCCATGATTGGTAGGGGCATTTGGGAAATTTAGCCAGGATGCCGGGGTAACACCCTACTCTTTTCGAGAAACACCCTGGGATTTTTAATGACCACAAAGAGTCAGAACCTCTGTTTTTGCTTCTCTGAAGGACAGTGCCTTTTTACAGTATAGTGTCCCCGTCACTATACTGGGGCATTAGGACCCACACAGGCTGCAGGGTGAACGCCCCCTGCTGACCCCACTAACACCTCTTCCAACAGCGACCTTAGCTTTTCCCAGGAGGTCTCTCACCAAGATATAGATCTATTTTTTCCAAAGCATAATTTTATCTATTAAAATGGCTCTACCACTGAGTAGACCTGCGTACAGCAGTTCACTATCGCTTCTAGTCTACAGCAAAGAGGGATTAATGAAAATGCAGAATATCAGTACGCACACTATAATTTCAGCAATACTTTAACATTCCTTCGTGGAAATTAAGGACCCACGTCAATATTGCCAATGGATTAATGCGTCCAGTTCTATTTAAAGAAAATGCGAAAAATCCGTTGTATCTCAAAGTGACTGGATTCTGTGAGTCCATCTTGCCAGCCTGATTACCTGGAGAGAGCTCAAAAGAGTCTTGGGGTCAGGATAATTTTGTGTATTAGTCTATTATTTGCCATGTTATCACAGCTATTCAATACAAAACTGAAAATGATAGTTTTAAATAATGACTGCATTTTTAGGACAAAGTTTGAAAAAACGTTACTACTTGGAAATAATTATCCTGTAGCCAGTTTAATTAGTGCCGATTCATGTTCCAGTCCTTCAGATGACCTCGGTCATCGTTATTCAATTCCCCTACCTGAAAACAAGGCAGTCAGTAATAAACCAATATTTTTTTTTCACCACGACTGCCTTCTTGCGGCTTGTTTTAGGAACAATTTAAAACACGAAATTAACAGTGTACTACCGTATTTAAGGCTGCCTGACAAACGTTTTTTTATTAAGTTAGTTCGTTTAATAGTGGTATCGTAGAATCGCAATTAGGTAGGGGATCATTAGTTTACAAGATACTAGTGATAAATAGAATGGTCAATGAAACCTGCAACCGTATTTTCTTAAGTAATGTGCAGCACAGATACTGAAGATGTTAACTGTAATATACGTGAAAAGACTAGTTTACGCAGTGGAGTTTTTATTTACTTTTTATCATGTCGGATAAATCTATTAAAATGTCTCTGATACACTTCGTGACATCAATATCGAAATACAAAACATGTAAAAAGACTTCATTCGAAACCTCATCAATTAACTTCCTGGTTCATATTGATGACGACACCAGTATGCGCCATGGCTGGTATAATGAGGAATTCATTACACTTACAGGTTTGTTCGGGTTCGTTGAGCGTTTCTCACAAGAAACTCATTTGTGTTTAATGTTTTTGTTTTTTTGTGCAGTCTCAAAAATTAGTCAGAGGAACATATTGGATTTGATTTTTTAGAGACGACAATTGCATGTGTATATTTTAATGTAAATTGGTAAAAGATGCAATTTTGTATTTGAAAATAATTCCGTTTATGCATATTTTATCTGAAAAAAGTATAATGTAATGCCTATCTGTGCATGATAACAGCAAATACTTATGCTAATTAGTAATTTCAGTTTAAAGCCTGCCTTAAATCGTACATTAAAAAAGAACGCACATGAAAAAAAAGAATAGTCTTTTTTATAGAAATTGGTAATATTGGAATACAAGAGTTTTTCTCACTTTATTTTTGTTTTGTTTTTATTCGAAACCTGTTTTAGATGTTGCCTAAACTTCTCCCTGATTGAAGGTTATAGTGAAATAATTTGAAATAAAATTTGTATTTTCTGTAGGAGAATATACAAAATAAATTCATGTTGATATGTCATTTACGAAATTTAGATTACGTTTCTTCAGAAAAGGTTCTGTGGATCTTGTATATTGTAGCGCTCGCACAACCTGCATTGTCGGCCGTATGCGTTACAATATGTTTTTGTACTTTTCCAAATCCACAGTAATCGCGAATTAAGAGTTAACTTGAGGAACTCCAATACCAGCCAAACCCAGTTTTTTAAAAAAAAATGTTAAGTAATGACACGTTATTTTTTATGTGAAATAACTGAGCAGTCGAGATAAGTTTTCCTGATTGAAATTAATAGTTCACACGTACCCTAAGGTATTTTTCATTTTGGCGTGCAGCTGTTCGCCTTTAAAATTTGAAAATGTCAGTTGCCTTCAGATTTAAGGCTGAAAGAAAATGAAGAAAAAGTTCTGCCCTTGGGTATTACACAGGCAGTGACTTTTCTTGGATACAAAGAAGCAATCGCTGTACCTGGTTAAAAGATTTAACCACGAGGGATTTCCATTTTCATTGCTAGTATTAAAAAGAGTCTGTGATTAAAGTGAGTGTACGCCTAAGACACGGGATGGCTGGATTTCGTTCTCAGGTGTATTTCCTTCTTCTGTCAGCGCTCATTGATGCCATTCGGTTGTAGTCTGTTTCTCGATCCTCAAAGGGTTTCAGGCGTTAAGGGCTCTAGCTGCGCTGCCAACATCGCTATTCAGGCAAAGCGCAGCTCCAAAACCTTCCCTTTGAAATCCTGCAGTCACTCTCACACGGTTTTCCAAATTGATGTCTAGTTTTGAATAAGGCTCCGTTTTTGAAATGATCTTTTTTTTTAAATGATCATAAAAATAAAAAACGTAATACTTTTACAATTGCTAGAAGTACATAACAGGAATAACAATGCTGCAACGTGTCAAATCCGCTTGCAAATCTTGTCTTACTTGAGTTAGTTTGGTGAAGGCACCAGTATCATTGATTAAAAAAAATATTTTATTACTACACAATTCCAAATAGCATGTTAAGTGTTATTTGTTACCTTGTTTGTAATGTTTCTGATGTGCTTGTGATGTGTTGATAAATGTTATTAAATATATCGGAAATATTTACCAGTAAATGAACAAATTCTGATGCTATTTATGTGTTCAAAAAAAGTACAACAACAGGAATTTGGAAATATTGACTTAGCAACTGAGTAAATCATATTACTATGAGGAAATACCTCACATCAGTCAGTGGCTGTTATGTCTGACAAATGTATTGTGTCAACAAAACCACTAGGGATAATTGAATATATATGCACTTACAGGGAAAATAACTTATGATAAAGATGTACTGTATTTTACAGGTCTCCCTCGACACTCGTCGTCTAAAGCACTGTGTTAAATGGAGCTGAACCTGGATCCCAGTAAGGATGACTTGCCTCTCAGAGCCAACACCAGTCACATGCTAGTGAGGCACTATGTGCTAGATTTGGCTGTGCACTTTGAAAGAAAGGTCATCAGTGGCAACATTGTCCTTTTCTTTGAAACTGGGAAAGATGGTGATAAATTATGTAACACTGTGGCAACAGAGCCTCATCCCCAAAGGCTTTCGCCATTCAAAGTGGAAACACCTGAGATGTCACATTTCCCTTTGAAGGGTGGGAGTGCTTATTCAGCTCCATCTGACACTAATGATGCAGGTGTGTGTGGAGGTGTCAGGAGGGAGGCCTCTGAAGCGCCTGGTTGCCATGGTGATTTGCAACCGCCGTGTGAGATTTCCAGTTCAAAGCAGGACCCCAGTGACTTGGGGGACGGTGAGAGCGCGGATTTCGTTCTGGTGCTGGACTGCTGTGATCTGTCGGTGTTAAAGGTCGAAGAGGTCGACGTGGCCTCTTTGCGAGGTATCGAGGAGCTGGGGAAAGGGTGTGAGACAGCTGGCCGTTCCAACAGAGTGGCGGGCTGCCCCTTGAGTTGCGGTGTTCGCCAACTTGTCACCCTCCCGGCGGAGTCCTGGGAGAAGCAGCATGACTTGTACTTACAGTGCAGCCGAGCGCCGGGCTGCGGGGATCTAATTTTCGAAACGGATCCGTGGAGCCTACAAGTCGCGAAGAAAGGAATTAAGTCCCCGCGTGACTTCCCTCATGTCTTGAGGATCTGGTACGAAACGAGGCCCGAGGGCAGCTCAGTGAGGTGGACCACAGACCAAAGTAACAGGTGGGTGTCTTTGGCAGCGCTCTGTTAGACAGCCTCTCAGGGCTTAAAGAGGAACTGCAACGCTATTTTTATATTTCGGGGTTAGAAAGAATCGGCATTGATGAGTGCTTTGAACACTCTGAACATAAAATGTACACTGTAACGTGTAAAACCTCCAATTTACATTGCAAATTAAACTAAATTTCCAGGTAAGTGCTGCGCCATATTGCTGTCTGCATTCCGTCTTCAGAATGAGGCACCAAAACTTCCAGTGAGGTGAAGGGGCCCTATTGCATTGTAAACAAGCAGGCTTGTGAATACACCTCTATTGATCCAATAGAAGTATTGAGCTAGACTTTGAGATGGTTTTGCCGACAAATGCTACTTGTTTGCTCTGCATGCAGATCACTTTGGAACTTTTCTGCGGTAAAATGTCTGCTGCACAATCTGTACTTATTCACTCGTTCATCGCATTACAATAGTCATCATGGTGACTAGTGAGCAGGAAGGGCCGCATCTTGTCGCAATTCTCGAAAACTCTCGTTCTCGCCTGTGGCGAAACCAGCAGTTTGTGAAAACATGGTGACCATGTCGTACTCTTCCGAGCTCGTGATTTTGAGCTTAATAAGGAAATGATAACATTTTGTGAACGCGTCAATTTATTTTGTAACAGATTTAATTGCAGATCTCAGAAATTGGGACTGCAGTTCCCCTTTTAACGGTAAGAACTGTATGCAGGGTTCTCCAAAAAGAGCAGTCTAAACACGTAGGAAACTCTTGGGGTTTTGTGGGATGGGGGTTATCCTTTTAATTCAAAATTCTGTAAAGCTGGTGCAGTGTCTTGTGACTTTAAGCCCTTCGATCAAAATGTATCTGTAATATTTCCCAAATCAGTATGCTTTATTTGTGCTTGGTTGCAGTTAAAGTTGGCGCAAAGGGAGTGCAATGTTATTGAATCTAAGGGGGTGTTAACTTTTTCACAGAGACACATCGGATGTTGGTTGACTTGGATAACTGTTTATGAACCAAGTGAAAAAAGCTCCAAACCTGTTCAGACTCCCTTATATACAGTATTACTAGGACCCCATAAAACTCTTAACATTTAGTGGTGAAAATATGCATAAATTGTGAAACATTGTGTTTTTAGCTTTAAAATTAAGGGTTTATAGCTAAAAACTTTGTCATTTCAGGGTTTAAAAATTAATACTGGAAAAATAAAAATTCTTAGCTATTTTATGTTGAATTAAGTTTACAGTTTATAACATTGGATGTAAAATATTGTGGAAACAAAAAACACGTAAAGCAGTATTCCAGATCAGTTTAGGCTATATGGAAAATCTGGCTCATAAGAACTGGACCTCTGGAATGTACTTTTAGTTATCTCCATCCGTCCACTGTTAGAAATTTGTTATTTCTTTGTCATGGTTACTGTGGAGCACAAACAGGAACCCTTAATGTGTCTGGCCCAAAAAAATAACAAAGACTTCTTAAGTTTTAGAAATATGATATGAAAATTCCTATTACTCCTTATAGAGTGCGGATAGGGATCTTTCATTGCTCCAGAAGGTCATGTGCAAACTGTCTCTTTATATAGCTTTATATGTGCTCTGTCCAAAAAAATAACCTTGATTGTGATTTTCAGATTCTCTTTATGGTCAAACGGCAGCATAACTCCTGATATATTGCATTGATGGTAATAATTGTTATGCTACTGTATATAGTTAACTATGTATGTAACCTTTGACTTTTCCATACGTTGCAGTGAAAGGAGAGTATACAGTAACTCTTTGAGGGTGCACTTTGGGAAATGACTATCATATTCTTACAAGTTCATGATTTTGGGATTGATAAGGAAGTTGTAAACGTTTGTGATAGCGTAAATTAATTTATTTTGTTACTGAGATTTAATAACAGGTCTGAGAAATTGGGACTGCAGTTCCCCTTTAAGCAGTAAGTACTGTATGCAGGGTTCTCCAATAAGAACAGTCTAAACATGTAGGAAATGGTAAAACCCTGTCAAAAAGTGCCCTTGTTCCCGTTCTCTGATCTCTCCTCAAAGTGAAAAGCAGAGGATAAGGTGTGGTAACCCATGTATCCTGTATCCTTAAAAAGACCTCACCCATGACCTTGGACATTTTGTTAAGGCTAAACACAACACTAGCTAACAGTTTGTTACAGGTTAAAGCATTGGTCGTAACTGCAATGGAAAACAATAATGCGTATATACTCTTTGTATTCATAGAATATAAATGCTGGGAGCTGTGTTAGTGTGTGAGGTGCAACTGAAACAAATAGCAGCCATCATAGGCCCCATTGCAAAGACTTCTATGGATCCTCCCTCCCCTGACATAGCCAGCAGCCATATCACCCTGCAGCTCACCACTGAGAACCCCCTGAAGCTCAGCAGGTGTGAGCCTGGTCAGTACGTGGATGGGAGACCTACTACTGGGAAAGGAGGGGGACATTCAATACTCGTAATTAGTACTACAGATTCAAGAGAATCATGATCATTATAATAGATAATACTATGCCTTGGTAAAATAAGTGTATACTATGTTTAACTTGAAATGTTGCACCATGAGTTAAAAATGGGTCCACTCTTAGTTGTGGGGGCGGGGGATGGTCTCACCAGCTGCATTGTCTTTAACTACTGTACATCAAAGATGCTAGCCTGAAATGGAAGAAGAAAAAAGATGCAGTGGCCAGGTTATGGAGCCTTCTTTTGGAGTGAGTGAGAGAGCCTCAGAATACATGAGGGTAAGGAGACAAAAGGAGGCAAATGAAACTTGATAGGGAGGTGAGAGAGTGGGTCTAGAGGGATGGAAATCTTAACAGATGAATTCCAGAAAATCTGTAGAAAACAGAAATCTGTAATTGAATTTAGAAATAAATTACTTGATCAGTGAGTACTAGGGGAAGGCGTGAACCTTCCCCTGTTATTTAAATTTGAAGTGAATTTTGACTTTCTGGAGAAGGACTCTTTTAGCATGTCGACTGCACATTAACAAGAAGCTGTTAATGAATTGAATTCTCACTTGAAATGCGTACAAAGACGATACCTTAGAAGCAAGGTTGTTAGCCCAGTGTTTTTTTGTTGTGTTGATTTTCCAGACCCTGTGTTTATACGATGGGGTCTCCCATTAACAACAGAGCCCTCTTTCCGTGCCAGGAGCCCCCAGTTGCCATGTCAACATGGCAGGCCACCATCAAGGCCCCACCAGAGTGTGTCGTTCTGTTGAGTGGGGAGGAAGAGGCCCAACCTGCCACGGACAGAAAAGGTGCTGTGCCTTCATTTATACAGTAGCAAGTTTTCATTTAGTTATCTTACTCATAATAAATGGCTCAGGGTTACGTCAGGACTTTTCACTTATTTTTCATTGGTTTGTTATTGTATAGCAGTTAATGTGAAAGTATCACTAAGCTCTTTGAATATTCAAATAAAGGCACTTTATTTTAGCACCTTTTTAACTGGTATTCAAGGTTCTATTTGAAACATTTATGAAATAAACCAAATGTTCTGCTTCTTTGAGTTAATTAGATTCCTATATTTTATTTAGTTTTTATGTTTATAAATATCTCACTGAACTGACCTAGTAAACATATTTAAGCTGTGGAGCAAGTAAAGGTTTATTCCATGATGGAAAGAGAAGAAAAGAAACTCAGCACAGATAACACCCCAGATGTTGAACTCATTGTCTTAGTGCTCTGAGGCAACAATGCTAACCACTGTGCCACAATGCCATCCTTCAAATTATATGTTAAATAAGATAAAGAGTTTAATCATACATTTATTTCATTTCTTTCCAATAACAACAGCTTTATTTGTTATTGATTAATCACTAAAGATACTGTAGTCAAAACTGACTGCTTATTGAAATGTATGCCCTCTAGTTGTTACAATCACTAAATTTAGCAATGTTGGGTATCAAAGATAATATATTACAGTCTGCTTTTTCTTATAATTCACAATATATGATACGATGCAAAGCCTTTGTATTGAGTGGTAGTTTGTTCCAAGTTAGAAGCCGGCCAGTAAGATGGATTCTCTGTAGAGAAAAAGGCTTTTTTCCTTTGAACTGTAGGACAAATGAAAATGTACTGCAAGATTCCTAGTATAATTGCTCATGGTACAGTACATCACAGCTGAGTTTTACACTATTGCCTTTAATGCCTTGTCTACCCCATTTTCTTGTCATATTTCATTTCATCACTGGTATTTAATGTTGTCATCTTGATCTCTAGTACATTTATTTTTCATATTAATCTAATGTATTACAAAAATGTCTAGTGTTGACAGAAGGAAAGCTATTTTTTCTTTTAGTCAGATGCTTTACATTATAACGTACTTCAGACTCACCATCACTGAAAATGTCAGAAATGCTTCTTTTACAATGGCAAGAGAAATTTAAGCATAGGATTCCATCTGTACTAAATAGATTAGACAATTAAGGTCATAAAATGGGAACATGAAGACATGATGAATCACATGACTACAGTTTAACTAGGGGATTATTGGGTTTATTTTCTTTTTGGATAGTTTGATATAAACAGAACAGTTGTTCATTTTGAATGAAAATGTCACATAATGTCATATAAAAATATAAGAAATTAGTTCACAACTCTGTTTTATTCTGTAATTGAAGTTATAATTATGACTGTAATTGACTGAGGCCAAATAGTGTGTAAATTGGTTCAGTATGTCAAGTAAAACTGCAATTTCTACACATTTTTAGCAGATAAATCTGAAACCTCTTTTGGACAATTTGAAAAAAAAAACACAGTTAACATTAAACCATAAATAAAGGTGACAGCATCATAAAAATATATGCCTTTTTTAACAACTAATTACTTCAGTGATTGAGATGTAAACTCTAACTTGCTCTGGGATAATTTAATAAAACATCTAACATTTGAATCATTTCAATCCGGCCCATAAATCGTGAATTGACAGCCTTCATCCAGGACGTAGTAAGATCGTTCCTTCTGAAGAATTAACTTAATGTTGTGGATAAGGTAGTTTTTTTTTTATTTTGCTGGTTTGTACACGGCCTACATTTTTGTTGCAGCATGAATTAGTACAGCTTCCTCAATAGGCCTCTGTGAAACCCTTAGGCTTTCCATCTCTGCTCTCTTTCTGCCAGTTCTAAAACAGGATTTTCTTCTTTCTGCAGCCGGGTCGTGCTGGTGCTGGTTCTGTTATGTGACCATGCCAATGCCAGCCTCCACTTTCACGATAGCAGTGGGCCACTGGGTTGAGGTGAAAGGAGAAGAGGCCGCGGCGACCGAGAAACCAGTGGCGCCCGTCTCTGCAGCAGCTTGCAGGTGCAGTGTGTGTTGTACTTTCCCCCCACAAAAAGGCAGTATGTATTGGAGCTTTGTAGCCGACTGTTAACGGTGACGTCTATCCGTCCTCCATTTTCTCACCACTTCTATCAGTTCAGAGCCGTGGGGGGAGCCCGAGCCTATCCCCGCGAGCAACGGGCGCAAAGCAGGACACAGCCTGGACGGGACGGCAGTCCGTCACAGGGCAGACAGAGGCTAACACAGACACACATTCACACAGGTCCAGCTTTCCCAGACGTCCATTAACCTACCACTGTGTCGGATAACATCCCAGGTCTGGGATTGAATCCAGGGCCCCAGAACTGCGAAGCACCGATGCTGACCACTGCCTCACCGTGCCACAGTCACCGGTTACAGTTCGGTCACAATTTGATTTGTGTCAGTCTTGCCCTTTGGGTCATTGTTCCTGGAGGACCTGTATTTTGTTCTGTGGGGAAGCCGGAATACTAGGTTCCACATGTTGTTCTCACCTGGCCACTTGAGTGATGGACACCTGCCCAGGAGAAGTGTGTTTTTCAAGACTGTGGAGTAATGCAAAAACACTCGTGCGCTGAAGCTCGGTAAAAAAAAAAAACAGCGGCGTTCACGTCAGGAGTACGTTCCAAAAGTTCTTTGCCGTAGCTCCTCCAAAACAAACCGATTTATGTTTTTTATTCCCCCCATTACTGATCAATTCAGCCTATTGCTTTCCGGTAAACTCCTTTAAACCTTGCAGTTCCCTGCAGTTTCCCTGCCACCATGTGGACTACCCGTGCCGATTCCAGAGGGCGGCGGCGCGGGTTCAGGCTGTGATCCCTCACCGGGTCTTTGCCCCGGCGTGTCTGAAGGAGCTGGCTGGGGAAACGCTGCTCCCCTTGCTGCCTCCTTGCCTTTCTGCAGCGCACTCTGCCCTGGGTGTCCATCCCTTCTCCAGGCTGGACGTGCTGCTGGTGCCCGCCGGGTTCTCCAGCCTCGGAATGGCCAGGTACGTTTCCTGCTCTTTACCACACCGCGTCCTGTCCTGTCCTGTCCTGTCCTGTCCTGTCCAGCGTCTTGATTGTGCAACTCTTCGGAACAACTCTTCCCGAGCTTCCTACTGATGTGGACGTCGCGTTTGATTTGCAAAGTACTATGAATACATTGTTTTTTTTTAAATGATTTATTTTGATTCCACTAACGAAGGTCTTTTTGATCATTCTGTTTTTATCCGCGCAGGAGGTGAATTCTGCGTAAAAAGAAAGTGCTTCTTTGAAATGTTCGTGTACACCTGTAACTATCCAAGCCATCAGAGTGCATTACGGTTCACCTTTTTTTTCTTCCTGTGGAAGGCTATTAGTTCCTTGAAATCAAATACAGTGCGCAACGTGGTCGAGACCAAGAACAGTTAACATTATAAGCTTCGTAATTAATTTAAGCACAAGAATGAACTTAGAAGGCAAAGATGTGATATCAAAAGGATTTTTGTAATACATATATATATTATCTATTTGGTTCCATGTAATGTCAGGATGAGGTACAGTTTTGTCTACTGTGACTGCAGAAGCCAACTCGGTACTCTTCCATTAGCATACTGATGTATGCCCCATGAAGTGTCACTCAATGTTACCTCGCCTTTTAAACAGTCAATGTTATTTCTTCCGATAGCAGACAAAAAGCTTTCATTAATATTTCATGGACGGCAATAATGACTTGACAGTTATTTGTCCAGTATGAATCTGCTCTAGTATTGTTTGCATTATATAGATTTTGTACATAAAACATTGAGTTTTATGTTGGTTTTTTTCCCCCATCATGCTTAGATTGTCTTGCTGTATTGTGGAATTGAGCTAACCCTGAAGTCACATTTTGTGTGGGTTGTCTAAAGTGGAGCTTTAGACTGTGGGATAATCCCCCAGGAAGTGAGAGATGTTTGTTAAGGATTGTTTTGAACTAACCACGGCTATTAGGTCTTGGAAAGGTTTCAAAAACATAAAAGCGTAATCTCAAAATTAGGAAACATGTGGGCCTAAAATGGAATTAAGCCAAATTATTTAATACCATGCAATACCTTCTTATGGTATTGTGTAGTAAATACACTAAAAAAAAACAACAGTTGTGGATCTTTTTCTTTAAGATACTGATAGGAGAAGGCAGGAAAAGGAAAAAATTAGCAATCAACGCAAGGCAGGGTTGAGTGGCCTAATCGCCGTTTCGTCTTTTGAAAATTTACTCCATTCCTCTCCACATTTCTGAAGTTTTCCACTGTCTGTGACCAAACCTTTAATTGGGCAGCACTGCAGTTGTTCTTATAAGGACATGTGGTAGGGTACTGGTCTTGCTTCATAACCTCTCCTCTTCTGCGAGGTCTTTATGCGGGCTTTTCCGATTTTCCTTTCCGATTCCGCTGCGTTTTAACAAGAAAACATATTTGATCCAGTGCCTCTGTGTCTCTCTGGGGCCTTCTCTTCCTCCTCTCAGAGCACCACATCTCTAATTGCATTTTGCTTCTCCTGCCCCCCGTTCTGTATCATCATGATTTGATCTCATCTCACCATAATCTTGCCTTTTTTTTAAATAAGAAAACGAGAGAATTTGTTTACCAGCTCTTTTTCACTCGCTGAAATGACGTTTCGGAAAATATTTAAGTTGTGACCGAGTTGTGTTTTCAGGGTGACAACATCTCAGTAGCTTTGTGTTCTTCAGAATTTTGCAGCAATAAGAAATGTAATGCCCTCTTTAACCTTTCATTGAATCAGTGGGTTCTGTTAGTCCCCAATGTCCTGGACCTGACATTTAAAAAAAACATTTTTCAGCATTGATCCTTCATTAGCTGTAGCCAAATTGACATTTGAAGCCATGTTGTCTGTCTTGTGTAGATAAATTGTAAAATGCCGCAGTGACCTGGGCATGTAAAGCTGTGTAAGGTGTCATGGTGTGCAGTAATTGTCACAGGCGATCTACAGTACTTATTGTAGCCAGTCAGGCTATGGAGAGACTTAATTAGAGGGCTACAGGGAGGCATGTCAATTGGAACACTGTGTGGGAATGACTAATTTAATTGGGTAATAAATGCACATTCTTACATGAGTGTTTGGGCATGTTTGGAGATTTAAAGGATGTCCATAGTGTGCGTAGGTAGTTGAGATTTGGTAACAGTCTGGTGGGGTCAGAGGCATTGGGTTGTAAAACCTGCAGGGTGTCTGTAATAAAGCCTCATGTACTGTACGCTATTGCTGTCATGAGTTTTTCATATGTTCAGATCCCTGGAGCCACCTTGTTTAGTGGCGAGGTCTGTTTCACACATATAGTGAGATACATTTATTTACCACAGGCTAGGGGACACAACCAGATGATTTACCATGTCACAAACTATTGAAAAAACAACAAAAGCCTACATTTTAGTCCAATAGCTGAAAATAGTGGTTGGGCATAATTTTATATGGGTTGTACAGTCACATAGTATATGGCTAAGCTGATAGTTGAAGAGATTTGAATGTGCATTGCCGTACCATTGATTCATGGTTAATAAACTCAGCTTGCAGTGAAAGTTTCCACACCCTGTCTCATCATTGACTTTTTTATGAATTAGGAAACCTGAATATACATGTGCAATTTAAAAAAAAAAACTATTCTGATTACCTGTAGATTTAAATTACTTTGAAGAATAATTTTGTAATATCTGAATAATAATGAATACCTTTCAATATCGACATAAAGTAAAAAATGACTTGCTAGTGATGTTCAGACGTTGAACAGATTGTTATAAGCTTTTTAGTTCTTAATCGTCATAGCATTTTTGGAGATACACATTAATTGAATGTGATCCGAGACAGTTACTGTATGCTCCCTTTTGTGTTTTGCATGTTTTGTTTAAATTCTTGCCTGAACTAGTCCTACGGTAGGCCCTTAATGCCTCTGTGCTGCCTGGTGTGCAGTGCAGTGTGCTTGTGTCCTTTCTCTGCTACTTCTGTTCACAGATCTGTATCTAAAAAAACTTTTCTTCCTAACAATCTGCTGTCTGCTGACAAATAACTACTTTTGTCTTTAAATCAACTGTTTGAGCATGTGCGTATGCAATAAAATAGTAATTAGAAAAAGGCGTATACGTATCATTTATAATTAGCAATATTTGAAGACTTTTAAAGGGTCTGAATACTGGATACATATTTATCTTTCAGTAAAGCCTTTTCCGGTCTTTGTGTACGTTTTTAAAATTCATTCAGACTGGACACAAAGATTGTTTTCTAGGCCCTGTCAATCATTATATCTGTAGATAATTCTTTTCTTGTCAGATTTGACAGCTGGGAAGATGCAATGCCTTTCCATCCTGTTTCTGAACATAGTCATTGGAATTCCAAAAAATGAGACGGTGGAACAGCGAAAGAAACGGATACAACACCTATCTCAGGCAGTTGAGGCATACATTATTATTCCTCATTATTCCTTCTGCAGTCTGTATTTACTAACCTCACAATTGCTTTCATCTGCCCAGAGCACCTCAGCCAAGACCTCAGTGATTCAGTTTATCTATATAGTTTGCTAACCTTACTAGCCTCTTTTTGTGGTTGGTTTTCCGGAAAACTAAGATTATTTTAATTGCTTTACATACGTTTATATCAGTTTCATTTAGTCATTGTCAGACTTTTTGGTTATTCTGTTATTGCACATATATCACATTGTCATTCCTGTTTGGCAATGTTAGAATTGCCTTTTACAGTTCACTGGAGAGCTCTAAAAATGTTTATGTGCAAGTTGTTTATAGAGAGAAGTTTTAAGTGCCTGTTATCTTGGAATTGTTTTGAGTCTTTTTGATTAACGAATTGCATTTATGCATTTTTTCCCTCTTTAAACCATTTTAGTATAGCCTGGATTGTGTATCTTAATCATTAAATTTGTTTTGTAATAGGACCTTGGGAAAGTCCGTAGTAGACAGAAAACTATTTTTGATATCTTCTCCCTTTGATACATTACCTTGTTTTCAGCATTTTCATAGTTATGAACAGTATAGCTTTATCTGGAAAATAACTGGCCTTAGAAATGTAGTTACTGATATTACTGCAGTTGAAAGTCTTCCCATATATTGAAACGTATTCCTCTATGCAGTTAAATATCACTAATAATGTTATCATTTTTTAATTTGGGTGTAATTTGGGCTTGTAAAAATATTTTAAATACAGAGGTTATCAAATTAATAACAAAATCAGATCAGCATTTAGCTATGTAAGCAAATAATAAAATAATTTATTCTCCAGGTCAACTCTGATAATGGAATAATAATTTGGCCAAAATGTTAGCAAGTTAAGCAAAGATTAACAATAAATAACACAACAGCAATACAACAGTTGCATATAGTCAGATATTTACATTTCAGTAGGTTTCAGAGTCCTCCTCAAATTAGACCTAGAAAATTACATAATTCAGGTACTATAAACTAAATATACTACAAAACATTTTAACAAACCAATGAAAGAAAATGGATCCTACCGAGGACTAAGTTTCCTTCTCAAAACATGGATGTCCCCAAGTGAATGGGAGCCAAAAACCAGGAGAGATGTTTTTCCAAAATCATGGAAATCAGAATATCGTAAAATAGGCAGCAAGCTCTCTTGTAATAATGCTGAAATTCTGATTCTCCTTGTAGTGCTCAGATGACCTGGACCAAATTTGGTTCCAAGGCTTTTTAGACAGAGGAGCCCTCCCATGGCAGAGCTTCAAATATGATAATGATTGATGAAGTCTGTTCTCCTTCTTTCTTATGCTCCCCTGTCTCTTCCTAGACCTCACTAGGAGTGGCACAGTCTCTTTTGAATGCTTACTCTTCAAAATGCCTGACTTTATGATTTTGAAATGAACCAATCTGAGTACATTTTTACTGTAGGTCTCATTTTGATGGTTAGTATCATCCTCCTTGTTTATTTGCCTCCTAGCTCATGGACATTTACTGTACATAAAGAGAACATACACCAAAACAACATATACGGGTTGAAACTTTCTGAGCAAGGCAAT